AAAGAAAATGTATTTATTATAAACTCATTGTTACATACATTATGATATCCCAACTTAAATATATATTTTATACATTTTCAGTATGTCAGAATTTGAAGTGTTTATTTAAGATATTTTGTCGGTATCAACTCTGCATGTGTCAGTGTAATATTCTCTCTGGTCAAAAATCTCTCAGCTGTGCTCATACAAATTGCAATGTCTTCATTTGCTGAAAAATATAATTATATCATTTTAGAAGCTAAAATATAACAATAAACAGTTATATCAGTCATGTTAAAAGTTAAAAGAAAAAAACAAATTTTAAAATCTTTTAATCATTATGTTGTAATGTAAGCACCGGGATCTTGACAGCCACCCATCCTATATCACAACATTGTAATGTAAGCACCAGGATCTTGACAGCCACCCATCTTATACCACAACATTGTAATGTAAGCACCGGGATCTTGACAGCCACCCATCCTATATCACAACATTGTAATGTAAGCACCAGGATCTTGACAGGCACCCATCTTATAACACAACATTGTAATGTAAGCACCAGGATCTTGACAGCCACCCATCTTATACCACAACATTGTAATGTAAGCACCGGGATCTTGACAGCCACCCATCTTATACCACAACATTGTGATGTAAGCACCAGGATCTTGACAGCCACCCATCTTATAACACAAGATTGTAATGTAAGCACCAGGATCTTGACAGCCACCCATCCTATATCACAACATTGCAATGTAAGCACCAGGATCTTGACAGCCACCCTGAGGTTTTTTTTAATTTATTGTTGTGAATATCGATTGCAGTGTTTATTTTTAACAGTTTTTGGTCAGATGAAAAAAAGATATCGCTAAAGACTCTTTTCAATCGACAATACGTTGAATGTGTATCAAAATTGATATCCTGTATACATATCTCCCCCTTTTGTATTGTCATTACGTCAACATGTGCCGATATTACATTTATTACACTTCTTTTTCTTTAAATTAATTTTTGTAAGTTAGAATTAAAACATATATACATGATACTTACTTTAAACAATTGAGTTTAATTGACAAAATAACAGTTTCGTGCCTCCTGGTTTGTTTACATCTACACGATTTAGGGAACAAAGGGAACGCGAAAGAGTGCGCGTGAAAACCGATACTCTACACCACGTGGTGCTGGGACCACTAACATAGTCAAATTGACCGTGTAGGTAGTCACAATGAGTTGATTAGTAGTCATATATGCTGTTGACTACCTTTCGGCTAATATTTGACTAACTGAATAGTCATAGTGACTAATTTAAATTTTCAGTGTGTCTGTCATATTTGTTTTTCGTAAATTGTTTTGTTATAAATTAGGCCGTTAGTTTTCTCAATTGAATTGTTTCAAATTTTTAATGTCGAGGCCTTTTAAAGCCGACCGTACGGTAGGGGTTTTCCTCATTGTTGAAGGCCGTACGGTTGCCTATAATTGTTTACATCCAGTTCATTTGAACTTTGGTGGATAGTTGTCGCATTGGCAATCATACCACATCTCCTTATTTTTATATATGTTCCAATTGTTGTAACCACCATCCCGTCCTCTTTTCGTTGAATGTGACATCTTGAATTAGACTTATCGACTCGGATGGGACCTACTGAATTAGACTTTACGCTGGATTTGTACTAGCATGAGCAACACGACAGATGACGAATGTGGAGCAGGATCTGCTTACTCTTCTGGAGCACCTGAGGGCAACCCCGGTTTTTGGTGGGGTTTGTGTTGCTCAGTCTTTAGTTTTCTATGTTGTGGTTATGTGAACTGATGTTTGCCTTTTTTGTTTTGTCTTTTCACGTTTTTTGCCATGGCATTGTCTGTTTTTTTTTTCGGCTAATGAGTGTGACTATCCCCTTGGTATCTTTCGTCTTTATTTTATACCTGTAGAAATATTATTAAACTAGATATCATATTCTAATTGTTTACTGCGATGTTGTTTATCGAGATTGAGATCATGAATCATATGATACGATCCCTGTAAATGTGTTGTTTCTTTTTGACAAATTAGTAAATTCAATTTATATAAGTGTAGTAAACATCTTTGAATATTGTCGTGTTCGGTACTAGCAACTATTTCATCTTCAATGGTTTTTTTGTATCATTTTATAATTAAGTTTGTTTTATTTTGTGCTTGGTGCCGATCAGATAAGTTAAGCTCTTTGCAATTGATTTTTACAGTTTGTTTTAATGCTGTATTGTCCGAAGATTGAGTGCTAACAAACATGTTGACCACGGAATTTGGTTGCACTTGCCATAGCCACAATCCCGTCCCTCGTTTCCTCGATTTGAAATATCTGAATGCGACTTATCATCGAATGTTTAAGTTGTCCCGAGCAACACGATGGCTACCACTAGAAGATAATATACTGCTTATCTTTTCAGAATACTTGAGTTCACTTTAACATGTTTAATCTTTGAACGGCAAGGAAAAGGCAACTAAAGATAACATGCATAGAGCACACGTACGCAGCCACATCTTCGCTAGCGAAAATGAAGCAGCCATACAAAAAAAAAAAAAAACGAAAAACAGTGTAAATATGAAAATAAAATTGTGCATAATGGAGTTCTTCTTTTAACGATATGAGAGATTTCAACAAATTTAAATATACACATGTTACAGTACCTGATTTATTTATAAGTTAATTTTTGTAACTTACTTTGAGCTATCTTAGATCGACACTTTTTGTCTTTTTGTTGGTTGTTATAATTGTGCTTCGTGTCAATCTGATGTGTCCAGCTATTTCCAAAATGATTTTTACAGTTTGTTCTAAAGTTGTGCCCCTAAACCATTGTCCGAAATTTGGGGAGGATTGACTCGGAGCTCACAAACAAGTTTAACCCTGACACGTCAGGAGCCTGTAATTCAGTGATTGTTGTTGGTTGCTGTCATAAACATGATAAAATACTTTCCTCTCTAGTTTTAGCGTAAATCTTTGATTTTCTCGGATGAATTGTTTCACATTTTGTTATGTCGGGACCTTTTTTGTTGCTTATTATACGATTTGGTCATGTTGGTTATTGGCCATTGTTGCAGACCCGCGTATGGCGACCGTTACATCCGCGTCATTTGATCTCTGGTATAGATACATGAGATATAGTTGTCGTCTCATTCGCAATCATGTCACATCTCCGGCTTATTATTTTTATATTATACAATTCTTAATTCTAATCCACATGATTTTGTATCGGATATCAGATACGGATCCAGCCATTTGAAAAAAGGGGGGTCCCAACACAAGCAAGTCATATCAAAGGTGTGGGGTCCAACAATATGTCCCCATACAAAAGCATTAGTTTCCAAACAAAAAGGGAGTCTAATCCCGCCCCCCCTCCCACAACCTGGATCTGTCAGTGGATAATTATTTATCGATGCGACTATTATACTATAGTATACTGAATAGTCCCAGCTATAAGCCATCGATAATTCATCTTTGTGTGTAGGGGCATGTTCTTATTTCGGTTTGTGACCTATTTTTATAGGACGCTTAACTATGGTAACGGTATGCATGATGTCACAAATCTTTACTCTGATTGGACGAAATTACAGAACAAAAACCAACAAACAAAGATATATGCTACAATAAAAGGAAAACATTACGGACATAAAATCAAACTTAAAAATTACATTATCCAGATAATTAAAAATACATTCAGGTAAAAAAGGTGTCATTATCACCACTGTCAAATTGTTTCATATTTAGGCTTACCCTTTAATGCATGAGTTAGTATGTAAATATCACTGACAGGTTCATTAAATCTACCAGGTCAATGATTAGGCTATTAATACCTCGAGTGCTACACATATATCTTATCGACTTTAGTCTAAAACTTCCAAGCGTAATAATGATCTCAGGCAAAGAGTACAAAATATTATACATGAAATAAATAATTCCAAAAAAACATATATCGCAAATTTAATTAATTGCCAAAAGCTGTATTAGATCATATATATCCCTTTGGCGTCCGTCCGTCCCCGATATACACACCGAAATAGGTTGTATCTCTAATTGTTTAAGTTGTGCTTGGCATATAGTTATAATTGACATTTCTTCATGGTTCTAAACAGTTTCAAGTTTGTTATGCATTACCGATTATAACCTTCTAATTATATCTTATCAAGGAATTGTATATTTATATAAATATAAAATTCCTTGATCTTATGTTTATGTCTATTTCAAAGCCGTATATATTTTAATTCTTTTAGAGAAAGCGCATATTCTCAACTTTCACAATCGTCAACCTTTAATTTGCCGTCAAATTGTGTGCAACTTTTTTTTTAAATATGATAAAAAAAACCGGATAAAGATTCATGGTTTGTTTTAAACTCTGTGCTATCTGAATGCGTCAGATATCTTTTTTAAAAGATAGCTCTTGTGTTTTTTAAATTAATTGTATAGAAGAGGGTGGTAAAGGGTTATTTTCGTGCAAAGTGATCGCCGTTTTTTATTTCACGTTCAACGTGTTTTTACTTTTTTATTTAACGTTCAGTCGTGCATGACAAGTGCCTCGTTCAACGTGTTCTGCTTATTTAATTTTACGTGCATCGTGATTTTCAAATGCTTATTTTGCGTGCTCGGTATTTTTCAAATAAAATTCAAATACTTGGCAGGAATCGTCAAGAAATACTTTTTTAAAAGCCGTAAACCATTTACATCATAAATGTGTATACTAAATCGGGAATAACAAGTAAAACAGAGAGTTTATATATACAAGAAGACAGTGAGTGAGTGACTCAGTCACAAAAGGTTCACAACAGTCTTTATTTTTCGTGCAACGTTCATGACAGAAATTATTTCACGTTCAACGTGAAATTATGTCTTATTTCACGTTTTTTTCCGTGCAAGCACACCCCCCCCCCCTCCCCCTTTACCACCCTCATAGAATAGGTATATATATATATATATATCATAAACTTGTTTCCCGCCAAATTTCGTTTGAAGAATCACGAGATGCCCCGAATAACAAGTCATGTGATTTTGGATGAAACTGAAAGTAGGAAATATGGGCAGTATATGTAATAAAGCTGTTGGTGTATTTTTCGAGTATGACACGCCTAGAATAGTTCATATTCGTAGTAAAAAAGTCGGTGTGATCAATCGTCTAATACAGCTGATTATTATTGCATATGTTATTGGGTAAGAATTGTACATCATGTACACAACACACAGACTGACATGTGATGTGAATAATTAGTGATTTACATCTTCATCTTGGACTTTTACATAAAATATCCTATTTTTAACCATTACAAATCGTTAATTACAAATTATCAGGATAAAGAAGATATACATTCAAATTTTTAATCCTAATTTAAAAAAAATTATCATGGCAACCATCTTAACAATGTTGTATTGTTAGTACTTAGAGGACCAAGGGTGTGCTGGATTTATGAATATTGAGCCACCTCCATCGGGAATTGTTGGGTTAAATCCAACCCCATGTACAAAGCTTTTTACACCTAAAAGAACCCTTGCAACAAGTCTTTCAGGGGTCAATAGTTTGCCTGTTGTTAAACCAAATTTCTAACACTATCCAACATTTCCTTTTTTCGAGTAACAATCTAAATTTCCTGCCCTCCATCTTGGACAAGCCAAAAATAATCAATCAATAAGTGTTACACATAACATACATTTGGGAAAACATGTTTTCTTATTTTTTAAGAAACAGTTATGTCACAGGGTATGACATGTATGACTTGAAAAAGTGATTTCGTTATCACCTTTTTTTCAATTCAATTCAATATTTATTGGAAAGATCACAATAGAGGCGTGATCCAAATACAGACAATAATATATTTAAACAACATATAAATGAAATATAGATCCATGTAACAACTAATCATAAGTAAATTCTATGGATACCTTAACATTCAGAACTCATAGTGATACCATACACATATACAGCATGTGATTTTTTAGTGATTTGAAAATTTCAGTAATCACCTATTTAAGCGATTTAGTGTTCCTTTGATCTACAAACTTGAAAGGCGAATTTCATTAATTTTTATACGCCCGTCAATTTTTGACGGGATGTATTATGTTATACAAATGTCCGGTGTCCGTCTGTCTGTCCGTCTGTCTCTCCGTCTGTCTGTCCGGCGTAAACATGTCGCACCGTAACTTGAGAATGACTTATCCAAATTTCATGAAACTTAACATAGTTGTTTCTTATGGTGGTCAAACGATCTTTATACTTTTTGGTGAAAATAAGATTAAAACTTTTTGAGTTACGGGACTTAGTAACTAAAACTGGTGTGTGTTTTTTTTCACATGTCGCGCCGTATCTCAAAAACAATTTATGATTATTGCTTAAAACTTTACACACTTCTAAGTTATATTTATCTTAAGATCAGTATACTTTTTGGTGATGATTCAAAATTTTATTTTAGAGATATTGAGTATTTTGTTAAAAGAGGGGGAGGGGTTTTTCACATGTCGCGCCGTATCTCAAAAACAATTTATGATTATTGCTTAAAACTTTACACACTTCTTAGTTATATTTATCTTAAGACCTGTATACTTTTTGGTGATGATTCAAAATTTTATTTTAGAGATATTGAGTATTTTGTTAAAAAAGGGGGAGGGGTTTTTCACATGTCACGCCGTATCTCAAAAACAGTTTATGATTATTGCTTAAAACTTTACATACTTCTTAGTTATATTAACCTTAAGATCTGTATACTTTTTGGTGATGATTCAAAATTTTATTTTTGAGTTATTGAGTATTTTGTAAAAAAAGGGGGTGGGGTTTTTCACATGTCGCGCCGTTTCTCAAAAACGATTTATGATTATTGCTTAAAATTTTACACACTTCTTAGTTATATTAATCTAAAGATCTGTATACTTTTTGGTTTTGATTCAAACTTTTTTTTTTGAGATATTGAATTTTTTTTTTTTAAAAGGGGGGTTTTCACATGTTGCGCCGTATCTCAAAAACGATTTATGATTATTGCTTAAAATTTTACACACTTCTTAGTTATATTAATCTCAAGATCTGTATACTTTTTGGTTTTGATTCAAAATTTTATTTTTGAGATATTGAGTTTTTTGTAAAAAAAAAAGGGGGTTTTCGCATGTCACGCCGTATGTCAGAAACTATTTATGCTTATTGCATAAAAATTTACACACAAGACGAAGGGCATATCATGCGCTCATGGCGCAGCTGTTTATTTCATTAAATGACAATTTTTTCTGTTATTTGCCTACATACAATGACATAGATAAATTATCCCAGTCCCTTGTATATTATTTTCAGGAGTTCGTTAGGGCAGTGAGTAAGTTAGTGTCAAAGTGTTAAAACATATCCTTGGGGATTTTTCTGTAATTAAATATTCATTAACTACTCTTACAATCAGACAAAGGTAAACAATTTTAAATAGCCTGATTGGTCTTCTTTACACTTATAATGATAAACTTCAAGGTTTTGTCCTGATCTACAAATTATTTCAGTTTTATGTATATTTCAAATAAACTGTAAAAACTGACAGGCTCATTGAGCAAAAGATCATTTCTTCATGTATTTAGTTGATTTTTTTTTCAAGAATCCTTGTTTTTTTTTACCAATAAAAAGATCAAGCTTGTGTGGAAAATATCAAGAAAATTTTATATAACCCCAAACTTAAGTGATTAAATTTTTTCTTTTCAAATTACTTGTTTCAGTGATTTAAAAAAGTTTGTGTCTAATTTTGTAAAAAAAAAAAATCAATTTTTATAAGACCACAAAATTTTTTTTGGGTTCGTTTAATGCTATGATGTCGTCGTCGTTGTCCGAAGACTCATTTGGTTTCCGGACAATAACTTTAGTTTAAGTCAATGGATCTCTATGAAATTTTACAAGAAGGTTCAATACCACAACAGCAAGGTTGGGATTGTTTTTGGGGGTTATGGTACCAACAGTTTAGGAATTAGGGGCCAAAAAGGGGCCAAAAACAAACATTTTTGTAGTTTCCAGACAATAACTTGTGTGTACGTGTATGGATCTCTCTGACATTGTACCACAAGGTTTCATATCACAAAGGGAAGGCTGGGATTGAGTTTGGGGGTAATTGCTGCAAACATGCAGGAATTAGGGGCAAAAAAGGGGCCAAAAACAAGCATTTTTCTAGTTTCAAGACAATAACTTGTGTTTAAGTGTATGAATCTCTCTAAAATTGTACTACAAGGTTCCATACTACAAAGGGAATGCTTGGATTGAGTGTGGGGGTAATAGCTCAAAGGGGGGGTTCAAAAAGTTTGGGTGGGGGGGTACTTTTTTTCCAATTTTTTTAAGGGGTTCATATTTTTTTTTCAAAATTTTTCAAATTTCAAATTTTTGAAAAGTTTCAAGAAGAAATCTTCCATTGCACAATATTGAGCAATAGATTTTTAAGATCTTTGACCACATTTATTTTGTGTCAGAAACCTATGATATTTCAAAAATTTGATCACAATCCAAATTCAAACAGTGTCAAGCTTGAATATTGTGTCCAAATTTGCCCCAACTGTTCAGGGTTCAACCTCTGCAGTCGTATCAGGCTGCGCTCAGCGAAGCATTTTATTCAATGCTGGTTTCACTTAAAAAGGTGATTCTGATATCACTTGTATAGTCATGATAGTCAGTATCCCTGGAGTTTATTTCCAGAAAATTAATATGAATAAAAGAAGACGTGGGCTCAATGAGACTGCAACCCAACTACTTCATAATCAAAAAGACATATACATGTAGAGGTCAAAATATAATACATGATTGACAATAAGCTAATTGATCCTTTGAATAAAATTATTCTTTAACATGTTTAATACAGGTTATCAATTTAACGCAGTAGTAAAATGTTTAAATATAATTTTTGTTGGTACTTACATTGATTTGTTTTTGAAAAATTAAAACAAAACTAGAAAAATATTGTTATATATGTACAGTTATGAGAACTCATTGTCCTACATCCTGTTGATATAAAAATAAGGAGATGAGGTACATGTATGATTGCAAATGAGACAACTATCCACCAAAGTTCAAATAAAGTGGATGTAAGCAATTATAGGCAACAGTATGGCCTTCAACAATGAGAAAAACTCATACCGTATGGTCGGCTATAAAAGGCCCAGACATGACAAATATGAAATAATTAAAATAAGAAAACTAACCTGCTAACAGCCTAATTAATAACAAAACAATTTACGAAAAAACAAATATGACAGACATGAACCAACGACAACCACTGAACTAAAGGCTCCTGACTTGGGACAGGCACATAAGCATGATAAGGAATATTGCGCGGTTAAACATGATTATGAGTGCTCAACCCTCCCCTAACCTTGGACAGTGGTATAACAGCACAACATAAGAACAAACTATAAAAATCAGTTGAAAAATGCTTAACTCATCAGATCGATACAAAGCAGAAAAACATCAAACAATCACAGACCGGACATAGCAGGGTATTTATCCATCCCTCATCCCTAACAACAAAAAGGACGCTAAGTACAGATCTGAGAGTACTCGCAGTTACTGACAGCTAGTTCAAAGCCAATAACAACTAATAAAAAAAAATCATGTATCCAAGACTAAAATATCAATCAGTACACATCCAACATACAATGGATTTAGTGTAAAGACGTCATGAACAGTCAGGAAAAAACATGACCTTGTGCAATGCCAAAATAAAGGTATCCACAGAATGTAATGCTGTTAAAATGCGTATATGATAACAAAACTATTTAGTATGATTTTAATTCATTGATAACAAAATCAATATTTATACCAATAAATACAATATTCAAAGATCTAATTACAGTGTTGAATTGGTAATATTTTAGAATAAGTTTATTTAAAGGATTGATAAGTTTACCCAGATCGTATATAAATTTCCGGGCTCGGTAAACAACATCACCGTAAAATTTAGGATGTGCTATTCCGTCTGAAATAAGTTTTTTACAGGTACAGCCAAACTTGCAAATTAAATCTTTGTATCTATGGAAGAATTTAGTAAAGGTTTTAAGTAATTTACGGTAATTTGTAATACTGTTTACTTACATTTTGGCATTGCACAAGGTCATGTGTTTCTCAGACTGTTTATGACATCTTTATACTAAATCTATTGGGTGTGTACTGGTTGATGCTTTAATCTGGGAGAACATGATTTATTTATAAGTTGTTATTGGCGGTAAACTAGCTTTCAGTAACTGCGAGTTCTCTTATTTTGGTGCTTTGTGTTTACTGTTTTTATGCTAGTTGTTTTTTGTGCCTCATACCGATTTTGAGTTAAGCCAATTGTTACGTTGCTAGCATGTATATTATAACAGAGAGACAAGCCATGTGTACTGGTCTACAAACTTTAATAAAACTCCTAGAGCCAAGTATTTAACACTAATACATATTGCAATACCACTCGCCCTTATCTGCTATGTCTATCAACACAACACATGCATTTACTAGGAACTATATACAAAATGTAATTATTTATGAATGAATGAAAGTTACAATATTACACCAATGGCTTCTGATTTGTACAGTTTTTTCTTATGTTGTGCTCTCATGTTTAACCCCACCACATTCTTTATGTGCCTGTCCAAAGTCAGGAGCCTGTAGTTCAATGGTTGTCGTTGGTTCATGTCTGTTGTATTTGTTTTTGTAAATTGTTTTGTTATAAATTTGGCCATTATCTTTTTGTTTGATTTATTTTTCGCATTTTTCATGTCAGGGCCTTTTATAACTAACTATACGGTATGGGTTTTTCTCATTAATGAAGGCCGTAAGGTTGTCTATACCCGGGTAATTGCTTACATTCACTTCATTTGAACTCTGGTGAATAGTTTCTCATTGGCAATCATACAACATCTCCCTATCTTTATAAATGGCATAGCAATATGTCACTCTGTGATCATGATAATCATGATATTGCCCAGAGTTTTGAAGGGCATGAAGAGTTTTTTAAATTTATTGGTGACAAAAAAATCAGCAATCATATATTCCTTATGGGTTCCTGACTTGGTACAGGCACTTTGCAAATAAAGACATGTTTTACATTAGATTTTACAGCTTGCCAATCCTATTTTACAATAGTAATTTTCCAGTTTTAGTTACATATACTTCTTGGATTTTACATCCTGACATCGACAGGATATGACACCCAGCACAGTCAACTTTAAACACTTCTTAGCATAAATAGTTGTAAGGAGGGTGTTCATACAGTGATCATTGCGTGATCCTTCAAAATTATTTTATTTAACATCCGCTATCAGACCAGACATGAATGATATATTTACATCCTGCCGGCCTAATAGAAGCCACTCAGCAAGAGTTGTTTTGGATGCTAAGAATCTTTACAAAACAAAAATCATCAAAGATAACAGGCTTATACTAACTTGATTATGTTTTTTTTTTCACATGTGAAACTGGCCTTCTTAGCAAGAGCAGTAGTTTAGAATAAATAATCAACAAAACAAGCTTATATAAATAGGAAGATGTGGTATGAGTGCCAATGAGACAACTATCCATCCAAGTCACAATGTGTAATAAAATGCTTCGCTGGGCGCAGCTTGATACGACCGCAGAGGTCGAACCCTGAACAGTTGGGGCAAGTATGGACACAACATTCAAGCTTGATACAGCTCTGAATTTGGATTGTGATTAAATATTTGACACAGCATAGGTTTCTGACACAGAAAGAATGTGGTCTAAGAACTTCAATTTTTTTAATTTACCTATTATGGTCCAATGTCCAAAATCAAAATACATGGTTAGATTCAGCATATCAAAGAACCCCATATATTCAATTTTTGTTGAAATCAAACAAAGTTTAATTTTGGACCCCAACTTGGACAAACTTGAAAACTGGTCCCATAATCAAAAATCTAAACACATGTTTAGATTCAGCATATCAAAGTACCCCAAGAATTCAATTTTTGTTAAAATCAAACTAAGTTTAATTTTGGACCCTTTGGACCTTAATGTAGACCAATTTAAAAAAACGGGACCCAAAATTAAAAATTTAAAAACACGGTTAGATTTGGCATATCAAAGAACCCCAATAATTCAATTTTTGATGAAATCAAACAAAGTTTAATTTTGGACCCTTTTGACCTCAATATGAACCAATTTGATAGCAGGCCCACAAAATAAAAAATCTAAATACATGGTAAGATTCAGCATATCAAAGAACCCCATATATTCAATTTTTGTTGAAATCAAACAAAGTTTAATTTTGGACCCCAATTTGGACCAACTTGAAAACTGGGCCAAAAATCTAAAATCTAAATACATGTTTAGATTCAGCATATCAAAGAACCCCATATATTCAATTTTTGTTGAAATCAAACAAAGTTTAATTTTGGACCCCAACTTGGACCAACTTGAAAACTGGTCCCATAATCAAAAATCTAAACACATGTTTAGATTCAGCATATCAAAGAACCCCAAGAATTCAATTTTTGTTAAAATCAAACTAAGTTTAATTTTGGACCCTTTGGACCTTAATGTAGACCAATTTAAAAACGGGACCCAAAATTACAAATCTAAATACACGGTTAGATTTGGCATATCAAAGAACCCTAATAATTCAATTTTTGATGAAATCAAACAAAGTTTAATTTTGGACCCTTTTGACCTCAATATGAACCAATTTGATAGCGGGTCCACAAAATTAAGTATATCAAAGAACCCCAAGAATTCAATTTTTGATGAAATCAAACAAAGTTTAATTTTGGACCCTTTTGACCTCAATGTGGACAAAGTTGATAACGGGGCCCAAAAATCAAAAATCTAAATACATGGTTAGATTCAGCATATCAAAGAACCCCATATATTCAATTTTTGTTGATATCAAACAAAGTTTAATTTTGGACCCCGATTTGGACCAACTTGAAAACTGGTCCCATAATCAAAAATCTAAATACATGTTTAGATTCAGCATATCAAAGTACCCTAAAAATTCAATTTTTGTTAAAATCAAACTAAGTTTAATTTTGGACCCTTTTGACCTTAATGTAGACCAATTTGAAAACGGAACCAAAAATTAAGAATCTAAATACACGGTTAGATTCGGCATATCAAAGAACCCCAATAATTCAATTTTTGATGAAATCAAACAAAGTTAAATTTTGGACCCTTTGGACCTCAATGTGGACCAATTTAAAAACGGGGCCCAAAATCCAAAAACTTAATACACGGTTAGATTCAGCATATTAAAGAACCCCAAGAATTCAAGAATAAAACCCCATTGAAATTGATCAAGAAATAAGCAATTTATACGAAGTATCTTCTTTTGCACAATACTGTGCAATTGAATATTTCTTGCTATTGTGCAATACTGTACAATTGACAATTTCTTGCTATTGCGCAATATTGTGCTATTGGATATTTCTTGCTATTGCGCAATACTGTGCAATTGAAGATTTCTTGCTATTGCGCAATACTGTGCAATTGAAGATTTCTTGCAATTGTGCAATACTGTGCAATTGAAAATTTCTTTCTATTGCACAATACTTATTATATAATAATTTACACATCCTGTTTGGTGTGTATCTCCTACCATATCATTATTATTTGCTTTTAAATATTAATCAGAAATAACCAACTTAAAATGGAAAATTTTAAAAGAAAAAAAAAAGGAAAAAAAGAAAAAAAAAGAAAAAAAAAAAATCCCCCCCCCCAAATTTTTTGAACCCCCTTATGATTTATCACCCCCAAACTCAATCCCAGCCTTCCCTTTGTGGTATGGTACCTTGCAGTACAATTTCAGAGAGATCCATACACTTGAACACAAATTATTGTCTGGAAACTAGAAAAATGCTTATTTTTTGGCCCCTTTTTGGCCCCCAATTCCTAAACGTTTCGGGCAATTACCCCCAAACTCGATTCCAGCTTTCCCTTTGTGATATGGAACCTTGTAGTACAATTTCAGAAATATCCAAACACTTACACACAAGTTATTGTCATGAAACTAGAAAAATGCTTGTTTTTTGCCCCTTTTTTGGCCCCTAATTCCTAAAATTTTGAGGCAATTACCCCCAAAATCAATTACAGCCTTCCCTTTGTGATATGGAACCTTGTGGTACAATGTCAGAGAGATCCATACACTTACACACAAGTTATTGTCTGGAAGTTACAAAAATGCTTATTTTTGGCCCCTTTTTGGCCCCTAATTCCTTAACTGTTGGTACCATAACCCCCAAAATCAATCCCCACCTTCCTGTCGTGGTATTAAACCTTATGGTAAAATTTCATGGAGATCCATTCACTTAAACTAAAGTTAGAGTGCGAAAACCAATGTGTCTTCGGACGACGCCGGACGACGCCAGACGACGACGACGCCAACGTCATACCAATATACGACCAAAAAATTTTCAATTTTTGCGGTCGTATAAAAAGTAAGCAATCTATATCGTTATTATGTTTGTTTTTCAGATATGCTATAGTGTATAAAAAAGGTTACCAAGAGGTTGATGCAGTGCAGAGTGCTGTCACAACAAAGGTGAAGGGTGTGGTCTATGTTAACCAATCAGAATATCCAGATATTACAACATCTGTTTGGGATGTTGCTGAATATATTGTCCCTCCACAGGTAGGTTTAGGGTCAGACTAAACTTTCCCACATAAAATATGTTTATTTCTCCCTATTCAGCAACTGCAAAGTTTGTGATACTGGTGACTACTGTCAGTCAGGGGTAATTCTTAATATTTATATGCTTGAATATGGAAGTAATATATAGTTGTTGTTTAAGTTTTGTCAGTTATATATTTTTCTGCTCAAGGTTTGAATAATCTCCCCTCATGTTTCTTCAGAATTTTACTTTTATACAAGTAATATTTTTATGATTCTTGAAATTCTCAAGTTTTGTGAAGTCAAAACATGCTGCAAACATTTTTTCTTGTTTGCTTTTACTATTTCTAATTAGCAGTCAGGGGTGGAACAAAAACAGTTACATTTGAAAACAACTTTAATTGGTTATTTGACTTTTAACATAATTGGAAAAGGTGATCATTAAAGTAACCAAAGGCAGTCGTTAATAATCTAAAGAAAACTGAAATAAAAAATTGGTCATTTCAGAAAATTTGTTACATGTGATATATGATCCTGAGGAAAACATGGAAAAGATTAAATTGTTTAGTGTTAACCAACTCATTTGTATTTTTCAGGAGAATAATGCTTTTTTTGTGATAACGAATTTGATAGAAACACCTAAACAAACAATAGGTATTTGCTCTGAGGTAAGTTATTACTTAACATCAACAAAGTTGTCCAAAGCCAGCATATACTATAAAATTAAGGTTATACTGACTAATTATTTATGGTTCAATGGCTCTATTCAGTTTTTATATTTCATTATCTATTTATTAATTGAAAATGTATGTCTGAGTTCAGTTTACAAATATACAGTCTAATAGAAATAACATGTCACTCTATATATTCTTTGCTTCATTGATTTGTTTGCAGTATTATATCCAAGTTCAGATCTAATGTAGTAAGTGGGCAACAATCATATAACATGATGTAAGAATGCATCATGATAGCAGTCTCCTAAAAATGAAAGTCACTTTGGCCTAATTATTAGGCTCTTCACACAGCTGTAGAACACTATCTAAAGGTGGTGTGCACTAAGGCATTATTTAGGTCCTAAGCGTTAAAAGGGGAGATAATCATAGTGTGAACAGAATTTTATATTGAAATTGTGTTTTATATTTTTCCCTCCCAGGATATTGTGATATATATTTTCACTTTCAAGGAAAAGACAAGGACAAAAAAATAAAACAATCAACAATCATTAAAAAGATATGAATAGCTGGCATAATCCAAAAAGAACATCTTACATGTAAATCAACTTTACACCAAAATAGGGATGCTTGCATTTGATAAAGCAAAAATGTTTAATATATACTGATACTGATAGCGAAAACATGTTAATTTTTCTTGATTATATTTTAGGATCCTAAGGTAATAGGTTCTAATTGTACTACATCCAGTCAGTGTCCTGCAGGAAAAGTCCTTCCTGCTGGAAATGGTAAGTAAACTTTAAGGTATTAGGTTTTTATTGAACTACATCAGTCAGTGTCCTGTAGGAAAAGTCCTCCCAGCTGGAAATGGTAAGTAAAGGTATTAGGTTCTAATTGTACTACATCCAGTTCATTTCCTGAAGAAAAAGTTTTCCAGCTGGAAATGTTAAGTAACGGTATAAGTTCTTATTGTAATACATCCAGTCAGTGTCCTGCAGGAAAAGTCCTTCCTGCTGGAAATGGTAACTTGATATTGTTGGATTTAAGTATTGTAGGAGACATGGCTTCCAAAACAATTGTATTTTCTGGACTTTTTTTGCCAAATTTTGTTTTTCTTTGTTTAAAAGTAAAGAAGAAATCTAAATCTTTGTAATTGCTTACAGAATTAATTCCATCAGTTTTATAAGATCACAAATATTTTGACTTAGGAGGTCCATGTAAAAGTATTACTAATTTACAGACTCTCATTAACATGTTCATGTGCCATATGTTGTAATTACTTCTTTATAGAACTCTACCTTTATGCTCTACAGGTTAATTACTCAAAATGTATTCTCTTCAATTTTATCTTTTTCTACCAACAGGTGTATTAACAGGAGAATGTAATACAACAGCTGGACGTTGTTTGGTACATGCATGGTGTCCTGTAGAGAATGGTGCCCTGAAGCCGTAAGTCAGTTTTTTTTGTACCCTCTTGCTGTGTAGGAAGTAATTGTTAATTATTACTCATCTGTCGTTTGCTTGTTGGACTCGCAGATAATGATGGAAGCCTCTAAATATGGTAAAGAGAATTGGAAATCTACATCTGAATACTAGTCATCTAACAGAATCCTATTGTTTCTCCCTCTTTCACCATTAATTCTTGTAAAAACACCTATGAAAAAAAATTCCAAAAATATCTCTTTCCAAAAAAAAAGTTGAATAGAAAGTGTTCAGTGCTTCACATAAAGTCTGTTAAGGTAGATCAGGTGTCTTCCGCCATCTAGGATTGTAAAATAGCAGAACACAATGGGTCTAGATCTTTGATTGAAAGTCAAAATTTTGTGAGAAGAATGTTAAGTTCTCCTTTGTTATGCTTTTCATCTAAATGTTTATTATAACTTTTTCGACTGTTTTTTTTTTTTTTACAAATACAGAATATTTTTTTGTTTTTTCAATTTGTCTCGAGATTGCCATATAAAGGGAGATAACTGTGATAATGTAACTTTTATAAAGGAATGTGTTATGAATTTACCTATTTTGTTGTGTAGCAGGAAAATGAGTCCTGTGACCCCAATTTTTCTTTTTCATTTACTGAAAGCACTTTATAAGAGCTATCTTTTCATATTCTATCATAAAATTCTATCATTTAGTTTTCTTTTTATCACAAGAAAAATTGGGGTTTCCATTTATAATCTTTACAAAATTTGACAATTTTGCACAACCTGTAGGTTGATAAAAAGCCCAGTGACCCATACTTTTTATCATATTTAAGAAAAAAAGCATAACATAGACTACATTTTGACAAAATATTAGATTTTCTTATCGATTTTAAATTAGACCCCCTATCTACCTTAAATCATGTCAGATCTTTTAAAAAATAGAATAATTTTACATAATAAAGAAATACATATTTTTGATTCAGCCATGCTGGATCTATGCGATCACTCTGGTTTTGGAGATGGTGCAGAATACTAAGTTGAAGACATATCATGAAACCAATTATGTGTTTTTATGACTTGCAGAAACTTTATACACCATTTTAATCATCAACTGCAAACTTTTTACATGTTATTTGCCCTTAAATTAAGAAAAGATTGGTCGAATAGTGACTTTATTTTAGATATACACTTGCATATAGTTCCTTTCTAAATCAAAATTTATGATGATTTACTATTTATGAATTAATTTGAAAAAGTATTTGTACATCAATTGAATCAGTTGATAAGAATTTTGAAAGTATTATATTAGTATCTTGTGCTTGTGTAAATAATTGTTCAATGAAATGTAGGTCAACATGTGTATTAAAATATCTAAGTTGATTCCCACACTTTTTTGAAATGGTATTACTCCAATTCTTTCCATAGGCAAGTAAGAGTCAGAATGATTATTAACTGCCATGATTTTCAAATAAGTATTAATTAGAAACAACCCTAGGCTTAATTCAAAACAGTTAATATCTCATGACCTGTTACATAATTAAATAGACCCAATTTATTACACACCTAACTGAATACACACATTCTTGACCTCAATACTAAACCTACAAATGTATTATTTATTTTGATCCACATTACATTAAAATATTCTGTTAATTTTGCTAGCTAGCTGAATGATTAATCTGATGTGTTTTTTTTTTCAATGAAAATACTTAAAATGTATAAAAAATGCAAGCAAATTTTATTTTACTTGTAAAATCAGTGCCATTATTATCTGACGTAAGTCAATAATCAGGTTCTAATTAATTAGTTACAATTATCAGAAATTTTGTTGAAATATTAAACAAAATTGCATAACTCTTACCTGAGCATTTTCTGCAATAAAATTTGTTTGTTTGTTTTTTATTTATATCCCATTATATTGCTATTTAACAGTAATTGGAAATATCTCAGCATTAGGTATTTGTACATTCAGATTTGAATACAGGAAATGTAATTTTTCTTAATGTAGAATGAACACCAATTAAATAAAAAATAGTTATTATTTTTTTTTAATTTTTATTGTTGAGAAAGTGCATTTATAAGGCCTCTTTCTAGAAATTATTAAACCTGTCATTATAAATGGCATATAAAAAATATATTACTTGTTTGACGATTTTCCTTTCCATTCTTGTCAAAAAATAAAATCTGACAGAGTCTAAAATTGAAAGATCAGTATATATATCTATATTTGCATCAATGTTGCGAAATTCCCTACCTTTGGACAATAACATAGAAATTTTACAGTAAGATTGGAAATGAAAAGAGAAAAAAATTTAGAAAAAAGTATGGTCAGAAAGAATATGAGACTAGCTATGAATATGGCTGGATCACAACATCAACGATGCTTTGATTTTGAAGATCAAGCAGTATCACTAACAGGCCAGATTCCTTGAACAATAGATTTCATAAAGCATTGGATTGTTTATTTTGAGCTTATGATGGATGGTGTAGGGATATTAATCATCCAGTATGCAATCTTTCAGCCATATTTGGAATGAGAACACAATGAATATGATATGATCATTGTGTCATTGTTACACAATCAGATTTTTAATGTACTGTGGATTCATCAATTTTTTTTATACCGGTTTTTGTGGATTGAGGTAAAATTGTATTTTTTTGGATATTTGTTTTTGTGGTTTTGTCAAAGCCTGCGTACATGTCAATAGAAAATCTGTACCTCCCTGAACATTTAAATTTGTTGATTACCTATATACACAAGATACATGAAAATAGGTATCCAATGAATTATAATGAATCCACAGGGTTACATAAACAGTCCATAGGAAGAAATGTTACCCTACCTGTACACATTATTTAGGCTCGCAGCCATTTGGTCTTTTCTCTTTACTTCTAAATTATAAATGTACTTAGTGTTAAAGCAGTAAATAACAATGTTTTGTGATTTAAACAAACCTACAACCTCCAGAACTGTTCTTTAGGCAAGAAAACTATAACAAAACCACCAAGGCACTTCAAATACTAATGCTTCAAATAGATATCTATGAAAAAGTTCTACCATACCCTTTTATGTTCTTGATAATAAATTTGCTATTCTCTTTGGTATTTTTTCAGACCTGTGAACCCAGCACTTCTAGGATCAAAAGATTTTACTGTCTTTATCAAAAATAATATACAGTTTCCGAAGTTTAAAGTGAAAAGGTAAGACGATTATCTTCTGATAAGTTATACAAAAAGTACCTCTATATGATGACAACTAAGTCTTTTACATGGAAGATCAAACTCTGAAGTTTGTTCCTTAGACATTTGTACTGTTGAACTGAGGAAGATTTATTGTATGTACCTTGTTTTAAAATTTATACTTTTGCATGTAACAAAGTTCAATAGAGAGTGATCTGTAAAACTGCATGTCTGTCTGCAAAAGGGTATTACAGGGAGTCCTGTACACTTAAGAAATTGAAAAAAAGTGAATTCAAAATGATTTATAACTTTTATACCCTTGTAGGGAACATTTTTGTCTCGACCTTTGGTCGCGGCATGCGAGACATAGGTATTACTATCCGGTGACGGGGGCGGCGTAAACTATTTGTATAAAGCCTTATATTTCAGATGGTAGAAGACCTGGATGCTTCATATCTTGTATGCAGATACCTTATGTTACAAAGGTTCCGTCGGGTCATATGTCCAATGTCCTTGACCTCATTTTCATGGTTCAACGACTGCTTGAAAAAAAATTTGAGTTTTTTTGTCATGTGAATTTCTCACTTATTATGAGTAATAGGATAACCATATTTGGTATATGGGTTCCTTGCAACGTCTACATGTCCGTCAGACATGGTTCACCTGACCTAGACCTCATTTCATGGATCAGTGATCAAGGTTAAAGTTACTTGATTAGGTCCTTTTCTCAAATACTATAGGCAGCAGTTCAACTATATGTGGTGTATGGAATGACCGTAATGGGGACATGTCAGTTTGGCAGGTTTCATCTGACCTTGACCTCATTTTCATGGTTCATTGGTCAATGTTAAGTTTTTGTTGGGCCTGCGACTTTTGTCGCAGAAAGCTCAACATAGGGATGGTGATCCGGCGGCGGCGGCGTTAGCTAATTTCTTGAAAGCTTTGTATTTTAGAAGGTGGAAGACCTGGATCATCCTCATACTTTGTATATAGATGCCTTATGTTACAAAGTTTCCATCTGTCACATGTTCATTGTCCATGACCTCATTTTCATGGTTCAGTGACTACTTGAAAAAAAAGTTAAGATTTTTTGTAATGTTAATTTCTCTCTTAGGATAACTATATTTGGTATGCGCGTACCTTGCAAGGTCCTCATGCTCGTCAGACAGTTTTCACTTGACCTCGACCTCATTTCATGGATCAGTGAACAAGGTTAAGTTTTGGTGGTCAAGTCCATATCTCAGATACTAGAAGCAAAAGGTCTAGCATATTCGGTGTATGGAAGGACTGTAAGGTGTACATGTCCAACTGGCAGGTGTCATCTGAACTTATTTAGAAATATTTTCTGGGCAGAGTCTGTTACTTAACTTTGTTCATGTTGTTATGTAACTTACAGTCCTGCAGACGAAAAGTTTTGCTCTGACAGTACAGATGTGGTGGAATAGCTAAGACATGTTTAGCCAAAAGTGTAACCCTAGGAAAGCTGCTCTAGTTCGTAGCTCAACTCTTTTCAGAGGAAATTTAAATGACAATGAAGCAAAAACTTTAGAAACCTACTTTAATTTTGTTTAATCAAAGATTACTATTGATTACTGGTAGTCGAGTATCATTTTGGTATCTTTACTCAGTACTGCAGAGCAATACTCAAGTACTTGAGTACTGTTTGACATCCCTTTTTGATATTATTGTTGCCTACCACCAGAAGGTGTGTTGCAAATCAGATTGGAATGTCTATCTGCAAGGTCAAGGTGACAAATTTAGTTCAACATTTCATTCCCATATTCAAATATAGAAAGTTGTGTTCAGTTTAAAACTTTTGAATGCCGTTAAGGATATTAATGATGATTGGTTTTATGGTTGCCCAACACCAGAGAGTGAGTTGCGAATTAGGTTGAAATATTCGTCTGCAATGTCAAGGTGAATAATTTGAATATAAAGAATACTGTGTGCTAGTCCAAACTTTTGAATGCTTTGAAGGATATTAATGATGCTTGGTATTTTTGTTGTCCATTACCAAAGAGTGTGTTGTGAATTAGGCTGAAATATTTATCTGCAAGGTCAAGGTCAATACTTTAAGATGAATACAAGGGAAGGGTTTGTAACATTTTGTGAGCTTTGCTCTCTATGTCTAGTTATGACTTAATTCTTTCTGTTCTTGGTAACGTATTACTTCTTCTCATATGTTTTATCTTTTTATTTAGAATATCAACAGTTTGTGATATCTTAGGTTGATAGAAAAAATTGGAGTCTAAAGTCCTCAAGTACTTAACAGTAGCAATATAATTTACTAACAATATAAGTTTTACATATTAACAGGAGAAATTTACCAGACAATGCTTCAGATGAGTTTTTCCAGACATGTAACTATGGTTCCCACTCCATAGATTGTCCTATATTACGTTTAGAAACCATTGTAAGAGAAGCTGGAGAAAATTACACAGATATGGCTAAAGAGGTAGACATGTTTGAAGCAGAGGATTACTGGACATATGTGTTTAAATATATGCCAAAATAAAATATACTTGTGGTTACTGACCAATTTTTATATTTGTTCAGTACTCAAAGCATTTTATTGGAGTTTTTGAACTAGCACTGACAATGCCTAGATCTTGTCCCCATTTCAAGAAAGAAAAAGAAATTAATTTCCTAAACTACCTAATTTTCTGTGTGTCTAACAGAACCACATATATATTTTACTTTGGCAGAGAAAGTTCCCAGTGAAATTTTGTTAGTATGCTATAATTTTGCATGGGTAGTTTGGCTTGACCTTGATAGTTTGCATACATAGCAGCATGTATTTTTATACCCCATGGAACAAAGTTCCTTGGGGTATAATGTTTTTGACCCGTCCGTCTGTCCGTCTTTTTTCAGTCCTGTTCTTGTCATTGCAACTCCTCTGAAACCACACAACAGAATTTCATGAAACTTTGTAGATAATAAGGACATTATATGGAGATGTGCATATTGACAGGAATTTATGATTCATTTTTTTTCTAGGAGTTATGCCCCTTTGAACTTAGAAATTTGGCCTTAATATACTACTGCAACAGTTTGTCATCTCAACTCCTCTGAAACCACACAACAGAATTTCATGAAACTTTATAGATAGTTAGGACATACTATGAAGATGTGCATATTGACAGGAATTTATGATTCAATTGTTTTCCTAGGAGTTATGCCCCTTTGAACTTAGAAATTTTTGCCTGAATATACTACTGCAACAGTTTGTCATCGCAACTCCTCTGAAACCACAGAACAGAATTTCATGAAACTTTGTAAATAATTAGGACCACTATATAGATGTGCATATTGACAGGAAATTATGATTCATTTTTTTTTCTAGGAGTTATGCACCTTTGAACTTACAAATTTGGCATAGATATATTACTACAACAGTTTGTCATCTCAACTCCTCTGAAATCATGCAATAGAATTTCCTGAAACTTTGTAGATAATAAGAACATAATATATTAATGTGCATATCCACAAGAAATTTTTATCAGTTGACTTTTGTAGGAGTAATGAGTTGTGTAACTTAGGAATCTGGTGAGATTATGTTTGCCAAGTGACAATGTTGGGGCATGGGGTATGTGAGCAAGCTCACAAAGGTTTTTTAATTAACATGAAATTTGGACTTTGGTAAAATTGCATAATAACCTGTCTCACAAAACTGCAAAATAAATAACAAATCACAACATTATGTGAAAAATCTTATTTTTTGCAGAATGTTTTGTATTTGTGTATCCTTATAAATGATGCAATCACATATAATCTGCTATAGTACACCTATTAACATTTTGTAGGTAAAACATTACAAAGATCAGCCATTTCTAAGCATGTTTTATTGGTTATTAATGTTTTGTAGATGGTCTAATATCTGATAATAATTAATTCTTTGTTTAGATCCTTCTTCAGATTAGCCTCTAGGCAGAGTTTTGAAATTATTTAGAAATTTTGAAATTTTACACCAATTTATTAATTGATCCATGTCTTGCTCTTTTCAGGAGAAACCTTTTAGATTTCTTTAATGATTCAATGTTGGCGAATTGTCGATTTAAACTAAGCCACCCAGAGGATCAGTATTGTCCAATTTTCATTCTGAATGATATTGTATCTCTAACGGGAAGTAACTACAAAGAAATGGCTGTCTCGGTAATGTTTTATTTCATTACATTATGATTAATATAGATTAATAGCTTTTTTAATTCTATTGGATTAAAGGGCCAGTGTAATAATCTCGTATTGCCTCTTTGTGACCATGTCTGCCCATAGTAATCTTTTTCACTAAAACCTCTTGGCAAATTGAGATTACTCCTGGTTATAATAATCTATAGTTTTCTACTTATAAAATTTTATCTATTTTTTCTACTGATTGAAAAGACATCATCATCATAAGTCACTGTTACTGAAAATATAATGAAAGGTTAAAATCAATAAAAATAAATTTTAAAAGATCTTAATAAATTCTGTAAAGGACATACATCTGTCAAACTTTATGTAAATTAAGAAATAATTCATGGGGGCTTGACTTTTTACTGGTTTTACCACGGGTTGGCCCTTTATGCTAAATATTTTACCATGAGCGATAGTGAGGGGTAAAATATCGGCATAAAGGGCAAATCCGTGGTAAAATCAGTATAAATTCAAGCCCACATGAATTATTTCTATTCTAATAGGACAAATACAGCTATTCTTTTTGATCGAAGCGCTCTAGGTGAAGGCAAACATTTACCGTTCCTGTAAATAAACACACTATTAATATTGATGTAAAATAAAGGAGGAAACTGAACTAGTGACATGCTTAAACTATTTACAATAACGTACTTAGATAGGTTTGGATGAATTTAAATGATAATCTAACTTATATGTAAAAAAATCGGCTTTCAAAATTTTTTATCATCGTTTGTTTATGTTTCCTTGTTTTGATGACTTTCAGTTTCACAACAGTGCATTTTCCCGTAAAATGCTTATATTCTTACGCCATCATTCAATGACGTCATTTATACCAATTGACGTCGGGTTGCTCATTCATAAAAAAGCATATGACGTGAGAGTATGATCGGAACAGCCCAAACAAATGATGACGTTGCCGATCAGCTGACATACAATATATTCATATTTTACCACGGGTGTGTACTCAAAGTGTTTGAAGAATGTCATATTAGAATGGTATGTTGATTATCGCCTTTAGGAATTGTGGTTGATTTTTTGTCCTAAGATGTTTAGTGAAATGAGTCACAGGCTATTGATACAACCTGAGGCTCACCCTTGACCACTTATTGCATTAATCTGTCCATGGTATTAAATTTTGTTGAATAAAAGATATACTGGTACTACTGTTGATTTATGATTTTCCAATTTTTTCCATTTTTAGGGTGGCGTAATAGAAATACAGATACAGTGGAACTGTAATTTAGATCTCAGTGTTACTGAATGTGTTCCAAAATACATATTCAGACGTCTTGACAGTGCTGATTATAAAATATCTAAAGGATATAACTTCAGGTACTTAAGAAATAATCCATGGGGACTTGAATTTATTGTGATTTTACCACGGTTTGGCCCTTTATGCAAAATATTTTACCTTGAGCGATAGCGAGGGATAAAATATCAGCATAAAGGGAAAACCCGTGGTAAAATCATCATAAAGTCAAGTCCCCATGAATTATTTCTATTCTAATAGGACAAAGACTGCAATTCTTTTGTTTTGAAACGCTCTAGATGAAGGGAAATGTTTGCTGTTCCCGTAATTGAACACGCTATTAATATTGATGTAAAATACGAAGAAACTGAATAAGTGACATGCTTAAATGATTTACAATAACATACTAAGATGGGTTTGGACGAAGTTGATTGATTATATTACTTTTATTCAAGAAAATGGGCTTACAGCAAATTCTTATCATTGTTTAATTGTTTATGTTTACATGTTTTGACATCTTTCAGTTTCAAATTCGTGCATTTTCCCGTAGAATGCTTAAATTCTTACGTCATCATTAAATGACGTCATTCACACCATCTGACATTGGGTAATTCATTCATAAAAAGCAAACGACATAGGAGTAAGATTGGAACAGCCCAAACAATCCATGACATTGACGATCAGCTGACATATCAATATATTCATATATTACCACGGGTGTGTACTCGAGTTTGAAGAACGTTATATTAGAATATATTTTATATTCTGTGGATTCATTTTCAATAGTGGGATACAAATTTTCGTGGATTTCGTGGGTACAGGTGGACCATCTAAATGTTCAACAAGGTACAAATTTTCTATAGGCTGGTATACAGACTTTAGTAAAATCACAAAATCAAATATCTACGGAAATACAGTTTTTCTTTAATCCATGATAATTGGTACCACCGAAAAGAAATGAATCCACAGTAATAAGAAAAATGTGACAGTCATGTGATAGGTTATAGTATGACCTCTTATAACTGTATATGTTAAGGCAAACCAAATTTCTTCTCATATATTTTTCAATTTTCAGGTATTTGTTTTTTAGGGATTATTTTATATAAAAAAATTAACTTTCCTGTTCTTTAAGTGACCAATCTCTCAGTCCTTTTAAGCCGAAGTTAGATTTAACTTTCAGAACTGCTTGAATTATTATGTAATGCGAATTAAGCTAATTTTGGAATGATGTGAACTTTGTTATTGTTGATTACCAATCTGTGTATAACCAACATGTTTTGAATCATCGTCTCCTGGCAATACCGACATATGAAGATTATTAGTCCGCAATATCAAAAGACCAAAACCTGCTACAGATGGTTAAATGCTACATTTTTGAGGAAATTTTAATGAAAAACAGGCTGAAAATAGCAAGGGACATTGAAAACTTGTAAATGAAAAATTAACTAACATAGCCATGGCAAAAAACAAGAGATTACGAAAAGTCAAAAAAACACTACATACTACTCAAGAATGAGCAACATGAAATCCACCAAAATCTGGGGGTTACCATCAGTTTTTATTTGAAAAATTTTATGTTTTTACCTGTGTTGCCAAAGGAGGAAGCAGGTCTAGTAACTGCTGAACTGTGTCTCTGTCTGTGATATTCTTGATTTATTTACAGATATGCTAAGTATTATAAGGAAAATGATACAGAATACAGGACATTATATAAAGCCTTTGGTATAAAATTCATTTTGTCTGTGACTGGGGAAGCTGGTAAATTTAATTTGGAGCCTTTTTTGATCAATGTTGGTAGTGGAATTGGCTTGCTAGGTATTGTGAGTATTTTTTTACTATATCATTACTCAATATTGGAGACCAAGAGGTCTGACTAAAGACCAATAGAAAAATTATAGTTCAACACTGTTTAAAAGAGCAAATTTTATCTCAAAGGTTTAAAAGTGAGCATAAGTCTAACTGAAATGGCCAGATATTTACTATTCAAATATTGATTAAAGATTAGTGCATGGAGTGAGTGTTAATAATTGTCATCATTGTTGGCTGATTTTGTTTTCTAGAGTCATAAAAGAGGAGGGGAAGGAATCTTTTTCAGGACGTCGGGGTTGGGCCTTTTTTTTTTTTAAGGAATGAGTCTTTTTTCTGGGGGAATTTAGGATTTACACTCTGGAATTAATGATTAATTTTTCCGGATCAGGGAAAGAATGCTTTCTTTTTTTGGGGAATTCAGGATAAGATCCCTTTTGAAGATATCCTCATATGGATCTGTTTGTTTACTGAAGATAAGCAGTAGTATGTTACATTATTGTCTCACTTCGACGAAGTGGAAAAAGCAAGAATTAGACTTACTGTTTCCTGCGGCGGTGTCAACAATGTATAAATTTGTGATTAGGTCAGTTTATAGGGAACCACTTATTGTAGGTCAATGATATATGGTATGCAGTTGTATTAGCATTGGCGCATTTCATTTCCATAGAGTTATTTTGACCATAATACCTCAGTCATGGTCTATTGATTTTGAAACTTATGCTTAGTTTACATGTGTAAGTTTGTGATTAAGTCAGTTTAAGGGGAACCATTAGTGGTAGGTCATTGATATTTGGTATGCAAATGTATTAGCATTGGCAAATCTCATTTCCATGGTGATTATTTGGCTAAGCCCTCTCAGTCATGGTCTATTGACTTTGAATGTTTTGCAGAGTTTATATGTTTAAATTTTGACATTTTAATTTAAACATTTGCATTATACTATCAAAATTACAAAAAAGCGAGTTATACCTCTGTGTCAACAGTTTAATGCTCAACTGCCAAAAGCAACTTTAGGATACTGTAATTACAGACAGCATACTGAATTCTAGTGATATGGCACTTACTTGGTTCATTTAAAAAAAAAAAAAAAGATACTTAAAACAATAGAAATAAAGAAACACTTGGATAACAACAATAATTGAAATTAATTACAACAATATTCTATCATGGTGTGTCATATACTGTATAAAAAGTTCAAAAAATAATGAAATATTCCATAGACTGAAACAGAAAAGGACATGTTATCCTGAATATATATTTCTGAGGTATATTGACCACAGGGTTTTAATTTGAACTTTTTTATTTATTTTGTTCTAGGCTACCGTCCTTTGTGATATAGTGGTATTATATTTCCTGAAGGCTAAAAGTCTTTACAAAGATAAGAAATACTTACAAGTGGTTGGAGATGACGCATATAAGGTATTTTAATACATACCATAAACAATTGACAGTTTTTAAAAGCATTTTATTTTTATTTTCATTGTGTACTGTCAGTCAAGTGAAATAGAGTGCACACATTTTTCATTCTATAGTTTTTTCAAGATCGAGTAAAAGTATGTTTTTGCTTGATTTTTGTATTGAAAATTAAGTAAATCCGATGGAAAATTCCTCAAATGCAATATTTAAAGGGATTGTAATTTTTAGTCCCCTACTGACGAAGTCGAAAGGGACTTAAGGTTTGCACTCCGTCCATCTGTCTGTCTGTCTGTCTGTCTGTCTGTCTGTCTGTCTGTCCGTCAGTCCAGCAAATCAGTTTTCCACACTTTTTTTCTTCGTGCTTGAAGATATTGATTTGATATTTGGTGTATTGCTTTATCATGACAAGTTACAGATCAAATTTGAATTTTGTTCCCGTCTGACGATTTTGTGCAGAGTTATGGTCCTTGAATTTGGAAAATTCACTCAAATAATCAGTTTTCCGCACTTTTTTTTGTCATGCTAGAAGATATTGATTTGATGATTGGTATATAGTTTTATCATGACAAATTACAGATCAAGTTCGAATTTTGGTCCAGTCTAATGATTTTGTGCAGAGTTATGGTCCTTGGACTTAGAAAATTCACTCAAATAATCAGTTTTTCTCACTTTTTTTCGTTATGCCTGAAGATATTGATTTGATAATTGGTATATAGTTTTATCATGACAAGTTACAGATCAAGTTTGAATTTTGTTCCGGTCTGATGATTTTGTGCAGAGTTATGGTCCTTGGACTTAGAAAATTCACTCAAATAATCAATTTTCCACATTTTTTTTGTCATGCTTGAAGATATTGACTTGATATTTGTTATATAGTTTACACCATGACAAGTTATAGATCAAGTTAGCATTTTGTTCCAGTACAATGAATTTTTAACCGGTAGGGGACTATGTATTGCCAGGCAATACTCACAGAATGCTTGTTCAAATATGTGATCACTTTACTTAGGAAAGAAAATGATGCACTATCAGTTATGTAACAGATTTCATCTCTGGGCGCAGTGATAAGGGAAATTCAGCGCCCTCTATTTGGCAGAGTCCTTTCGAGGAATGTATCAACAGGATATCCAGAAACCAGTCAATAATCTCCATTCCTCTTATTACCAGTTTAAAGCATACCAACATGGTTAATTCTATTTATTACGAATTGAATTTTGCTGTTATAAAAGAATCAATAGAGGCTCTTTTACTTGTTTAAATACCAAATACTTTTGTTTAATTAATCGGAGTATCGTATTTGTAAACCTTACTGTTTTAGTGGATCTGCAAAATCATGTTTATTTCCATGTGGTAATTAGTAGGGATGTCAACTCAGTGAAGATAAACTAATCGAGTACTCGTAGGATTTACCAAGCGATACTGGAGTACTCGCTCGGTCAAGCATTTTATATTTACAAAATGGAAACACAAAAAATTATATCCATTTTATGTATTGTGAGTCGTTGCATTATAAACGTTAAACCCTCAACTTTATTACTTAGGACTAGATAATAGTCCAAGGAATTTTATTCATAACTAATAGTTCATTTACTACATGAACTGATTATGTAAGCTGACAATAATCTAACCAAGTAATTAATTAATATCTATAGAAAAATGATTAGTCAAACAACAATAATCGTAAAAAACACATTTAATGATCACCAAAGAGGTGATGATTAGAACCTAATCCTTTTCTGAGGGTCAACACAGGGTGCAACGAATTTGTTCTTATTGAAAAATATCATCTTGTAAACTTTTTCTGGGACGAGGCTATTTCTCATCTTTGTTAGGTAACTAACAGTCCTGCTGAAGAAAATATATACTCTTACGATAGAGAATTGGAGGAATAATTAAGATCAGCCAAAGGTGTAAGCCTTGGAAACATGCTCTTGTTCATATATCCTACCTCTCTTTGGAGGAATTTTAAATGACATTTAAACACAAACATTCGAATCGAATTTTAAGTTTTATTAATTTTGATTAATATTTAATTTCCCGGGAGGCGCTCTCAAAAAAAAATTTTATTTGTTGTTTTAGCATATGAAAGCAAGAAAGCAACAACATTCTTACAGGAAACCGATTAGTCGAGTATCATTTTGGTAATCGATACTTGGTACTACCGAGCGATACTTGAGTACTCGAGTACTCGTTGACATCCCTAGTAATTAGTGGTATTGAGATATTGCATGACCTGACTTGTTTAAGGTGTGCGTTACCTCGTATGAAACAGTTAAAAACAAACGATCTACATTTTGACATTTTCTGTAAAAAGAATATGAATGGATACAACCTTTTTAATTACGGACCAGTTTCAGTGTTTCAAATAGTTTAGACCTGGCACTATGAAAGAATAGTTTTTTTACCAATTTGTTTAAAAGAAAGAAAAAAAACAAATGTCAGGAGGAATGATACTATGTAATTTCTGTGTTAGGTTCTACTTTCATTCATATGTCAACTCTTAAAGAGTCATAAGGGAAGGACATTCAACTCTGAGGTCAGGGGTGGGAAATAATTAAAAAAAAAATTAAAAAAATTTCTGATTCCCCACTTTGAAGAAAAAATGAATAATTTGATGCTTGTGTAGTATGCTAGACTCCATGACAAACATGGCAAGTCTTTTGATTTTATCAATATGCAAACTAATCAGAATTTCTTATCATGTTGATAGTTTCACAATTTGTCATGCATAGTTTTTGAAAGGTGTCAGTTTGAATCCTTCATGTGTCAATCTACAAATAAAAAGTTGAAATGTCTGAAAGAAATGAGTGAATTTTTCTATAGAATTAAAGAATTAGACACAAATTTTTAGACTATGTCAATTAAAAAGTATGTCAAGACCTTTTTCAGGAACTCTGGTTATGGATGGCTTTTCAGTTATCTTTAACTTTAATAAAAGCTTGGTGAATCTTTGCAGATGTTTTAATTTATATCCAATAAACATGATAAAGAGCTAAAATAGAAAAAGTTTCAATCATCTAAAACCTGAAGGCATGCTCAGAATACAGGATTTAGCATCTTATATTTCAAAATTGTTTCGGGGGGTGGGGGGGGGGGGGGGGGGGTGGGGGGGAAATGTTTCTAGTTGAATCATTCATGTTTGACGGGTCTCAGTTGGATAGTTGACATTTTCTTCAACTATTAAAACAAAATTCAGACAAGGAATATCTGATGGATTACAAGCCCAAATGAATTAGGGGCTTAAAAAGTTATTGGTGCAGACTGTTTGGTATAAAATTAATTTGTGACTTGTGACAATGGAACTAATCTTGTACTTGCATGTATATTTCTTAGTATATGGCAAATGCTTTCACCAGCCCTATCACACTTTGATTTTTTTTATCAGATGAGAATCCAGACAGTAAATCACTGTGACCTACTTTGTGCAACTTTGACTTCAGATTTTTATCAGAAGTTTTTAGTGCTTGATATATGATCATCTTCACTGTAATATTTTTATAGATATAAATCAGTTTTATTTTGATTAAGGGCTGTTCCAGAAAGTAGTATGTCCCCTCTTGGGATATTTTTTTATGTAGATGGTCGTATCAGGAAGAATTGGAAATAAGTAGGTGGAATCATTCCTTATGAATCAATATCTGTAGGTGGTTGGTAATTTGGAGGATTCAGCAATATATAGGTGGGGTCTTTCTGTGATTCTTTGAAATAAAACGTAGAAAAACACCTTTTGACGCTTGAATCATACATTCCTTGTTTATTTTTGTCTCTCAGGTTAATTTTAAAATCATTGTGAAAACAATTAGAATTAACTCCCTTAGGGTAAATTTGAAATATTACAGATTATGTTATCTTTTTAATCAAATGAAGACATCTGTAAACATCAGTTTCCAAGTTATTATATTTATAAAAAAAAAGGGACTATGTTACCATAAGGATTTTAAAAAATATGGCTTGCTCTGATTTACATCAATTGTATGGGAAATATTGATTGAATATTTAAAAATACAATTATTTTGTATGTTCGAAATGAGAGAAAACTGCTATACAAAAACATGACCGAAGCTGCTAGTTGACAACTCTTTGTTGCACCAGGCATTCTGACAAATATTTGGCAGTAAGAGTACATTTAGGACACACAACATTGCCATTTTATCAGCATAGGTTTATGGATTCCAAATATTCTTTGCTTGTGTATGTCTTATTAATAGGTTTGGCAAAATGTACACATGGACTCTCTGGTAACAACCATCCAGGACAGTGATAACGAAACTTATCAAATGTTGTATTGCAAAAAATATTTCAAAATTTATAAAGAATAATTATCATGAATGTGATGAAGAATCCCTATGTTTACTGAATTAATTCACTTTATTTCAAATAAATTTTATTACATTTTCATTAAAAAAAAAGTAATATGAAAGGATCTTTTTTATACCCCTGCTCTGAAATAGGTGGGTATACTGTTTAGCACCTGTCTGTCCATCTGACTGTCTATTTGTCCATCAATCCATCTGTCCATCCCTTTGTCCATCCAAATTATTTTATGCCCATCCGTCACATTAAATTTCCATGGTATTTTTCGCAGGAACTACAAGTAAGAGCTTCCTGAAATTTGCTATCAGGCTTCATGTGGACATGCATGCTTCACCTTGTAATGTGTTTTCGGATTCATTTTTCTTAAAGGGGGTGGTACCATTAGTGAGCAATAGCTCACAGTTCTACTGGTTAATATTGGTACCCTTAGTGAGCAATAGCTCACAGCTCTACTGGTTAATATTTCTGCATTCAGTATACCAATAAAATGAGGCAGGTTCTACCTGAAGTCTGAAGAGTTCCTGAATGTTACTGATTATTTGAAAGTAGATTCTGCATTTGTTTGTTTTATTTATCATTATACTTTTTTGTTGTCTGATATACATATTTGAGGGAAGTAAAGTTAAGGCTTCTCAGATACAGATTTATTGAAAATCAATAGAATGATCACCATCATTGATGTTTAACAAAAAAACAGTATCACAGTTTTATCACAGCCAAGCTGTTGAAGACCCTTCTATCATTTATGCTCCATTAGAGCATTATAAACTCTGTTGCATTTTCTGGAACAGCCCTTAGTCACTTTCATTAATATGAAATATATAATTTGTCTTTCCTTTTTGCAATTAAAATTTACGGTATATGTTTACTTCTGTATGGGATGTAGGTTTATGTTACATAACCAGAAGGCTTTGTCCTATCACAATAACAATATTACCCAATTTCAGTTTGAAACACCTCTACAAATTGATCAACTGGTAAAGCATTTTAGTTCATTGCTTCAGTGAAAGGTTGTTAGTATGTAGTGAGTGCAGTGTTAAAAAAATAATGCTTACCATCCAAATCCAGTTTTTTAATGTCTGTGTCATGCTACTACTACTACTACAGGAGTGTTTAAAGACTTTTTAATGTGTGAATTTAAAAGATAATTTTGTGTGAAATGTTTTCACAGAAAAATAATGATGTAAAAGTTATGACTAAAGTCTATTGATACTTTGATAAATAACATTGATGTAAAAATAAGGAGATGTGGTATGATTACCATTGGGTCTATCTAATAAGACATAATTATTTATAATTCTTTTTTTAACATGTGTTTAAAGCATGAAGTCCAGCAAGTCTTTGATTACTGTTTCCAAGACTTACATTTGGTGACCTTGTTAGTACTACGACTGGGATAATTAACGATCTTGACTACCCATGAGGGTCTCACAAGGTCGTATGACTATTTTAGCCACTGATAGTTTTTTTTTTAGATGAAAACAAAATTTCTCACTTCATCTTTACATGTTTTCTATCCAATTTAGCCACTTGATCGGAGGCCAATACTAGCGGGAGAGATTGGAGCTCCAATACACAATGACGGACCACATAGTAATACTAATAACTTTACCCAATATAGATCACTGGATAGTGATTAGGTTTGTTCCCCCCAATGTGGCTACACTCTTCCCCACCTTTCCATATCACATGATAACCAGCACACAGTATGACATACAAAGTTTGATAATCTGCTATGAATATATGAATAAATTTATACAAGAAATTCTGAAATTATACTTCTGGATTTTTGGTCATGGAGCTAAATTACTCTAATATTGTGTATTAATTTGACATGTGCTCAAACTTTTTATTGAATAAAATTAAATCTATTTGCATATAGTTCCTATGTGAATCAAATTTATAAAATATTACTCTTTATGATTTAAGGTAATAAAAAAGCAAGAAATAATTTAAATTTTTAAAAAGTTTATTAGAAATTGAAATAGTATTTTATTAGTATTATGTACTTGTGGAAATATTAAATAATGTGAAGTATAAACTGTGTATTGATATCAAAGTTTATATCAGACATTTTCCTGAAAAATACAAACTTCAAGGGAGACAATTTAAGCAAAGACCCCTTTCAAACTTGGACATTTAGATCGATTAAACTAGATGGGTTCACTTTAGATCAATTTAAGCCCAATGTGAACGCATTGAATCGATTTTTTATCGGTCTAAACTAAAACACCAAAAGAGGTAGTTTAGTTTGAATCAATCTTACGTTAAATGTGAACGCAGAGATCGATCTTAACTAGTACGAAAATAATTTGTGCACATGAATGGCGGCAAAATTACAAGAACAATTTATTACAAAATGAATGACCGACATAAAAGGGCTGAAAATTAACGAAAACTATACGAACAGCGGTATCAACATTTGAACTTGTAATTCAGAATATTAATTCTAGTGAAACAATAACTTCATCCAGTATATTTTTGTACAAGCATGTGTATCAACACATTAATTTGATTTAATATTTTTATTTATACACAGTGTCTAGAATTTCACGGGTAATTAGGTCATATAGATTGCATTTTTAAATTGTAGTGTGAACGCAGTGGTTCAGATTAGAACCATAGAGATCATTAGGATTAAAGATAATGTGAACGCTAACTGGTTTTATTTAAATCGATTCAAAAAATGCTTGTGTAAACGATGTCTTTGTTATCCAAAATTATAAACAATTGACATTTACAAGTTCACTTAACTATTGTTTATGTTTCATTTTTATTTAAACAAAATTCTGCAAGATTAAGATCTATAAAAGTAAGATACATTTAACCAAGTAGTATATATATCCCTTTCAATAAATGAACAGAGAGTTTCCAATGACTGATTTGAATAAAACATTTGCATCATAGAAATGATTTAAAGTATTCAATAAATTACATGTTACGATGTACCGCCGTACTGATATTCTTCTTTTTGTCATTAAGTCAGATCACTGATTCAACTAGCTGGCTCACAGCATCAATAGTGCTTTGATTTCAGCTTTGTAATGAAAAGACAGCTTAAGCTTTGTAGGGAATCATTTTACATGTGTTTCATGCTTTATATCCTGATATGGAAAAAATATATATAAAATACATGATTTTGTATCAATTATTGATGAGGAATATGAAAATTTATTGCTATCACATTCATGTAAGCAAAACATTCTGGATCCATTCCTGTCCTTGATCATCATGCACATATACCTTCCAAAATTGAAAAGCACACAAAATATACCACCTGGTAATTTGAAAACTGTAAATACAGAAATTATTGCATGCATTTAATATTGCGATTTTTGAAGAAATGACAAAAATGTGAGATTAATTATTGCAGTTTCAGGAAAATCTGCATACAAATATATGTATCTGATATCAGAATGGGAGTATTTATTATTGTAATACTCACCCAGTCGAATTATTCACATTAATAAAAACCTTGCAATAATTTCTGAATTTACAGTAGTCTAATGAAAATTTGTATGGTGCTTTCAAAGGCAGTTTGAAAAGAAAATATCAAAGATACTATTGCACAAATTGTAATATATATGTATACCTAACTGGACAATTTAGAATTGTATAGAAGTATTGTGCCAATTTATATTGATTATCTACAAATTATTTGTAGTTCAAAATAGATTAGACAAATTTTGCATTCAGATCAAGTAAAAATGATACAACAGCTAACAGTTGAAATATCTTTTGGCCTTGCCTATGATAGTAGGATAAGGGGCCTAGGGGGCATTATGTTTTCTGGTATGTTTGTCTATCCATCCCTATGTCAAGTTAAAGTTTTAGCTAGGTTGCCGTTTTGGTTTATCACATCAACTTTTAAGTTAGCACATATAAAAATAAGGAGATGTGGTATGATTGCCAACTACCAAAAAATCCACCACAGTTCAAATGAAGTTGATGTAAGCAATTATAGGCAACTGTACGGCCTTCAACAATGAGAAAAACCATACCGTATAGTCAGCTATAAATGGCTCGGCATGAAAAATATGACATGTTCATTATGATATAAATATTTGCCAAATTAAGGTTTTGACCTAGATTTTTTAGTTCACTCAGCATGGAAATGTAATATTGTGAGAGGCTGTGGTGTCCTATGGACACATATATGATCGCTTATAATAAAACTGTAAAAAGTTGTATAATATAACATAATGTACACATATGTAATAATTTGACACTATAAATTACATAAATAAACCTATTTTATCATATTTCATCATTTGAACAGACATAAGGTTTTCAAATATTGAGTAAAGCTTTATGTGTAGTTTATTTTATTTTTCAGCAACTGGACGGCCAAAATGATGAGGACAAATCTGAATGAACTTTTTTTACATTTTGATGTTGTAGAAAGTCTACTGTCTACGCATAAAAATATTGCCACATCATTTTTCAACATTTTGGTAGAGAAAAAGTCGAAGAATTCTGAATTGGAAAGTGCCATATCATCCAACAAAACATATACAAATATGAAATTGATAACATTTATGACATTTTGGTCCTGACATTGATATCTTTATATGAACAAGAAACTTATGTCACAAAAAGAAAAATGTGCATTTTTAAACAAAAGTTACATAATGAAAACTGTAAAGGGGAGGGGGTCTTGAGAGGAAGCAGGAACAGTGAGAGTAAACGGAGTTACTGAGGGAGTGTGGTAAAAGGAAAATTAGAGTAAAGGAGCAGAAAGACACAAAGAGGGAACATATTTTCCTGCATACCTTCACAACATTAATCAGAATAATGAGTATTTACCATGGGAGCTGTACAGACTCCTTTGGGTCTCTATATTGTTCTATAGTAACATTACCAATATTTACAAATAGCAAACAATTATTTTTTATATGATTTTGTTTAGAGTATTAGGATGTCAATAATCATTACCTACTTATTTATAAATTTTAATATGATCAATTAGAAATCCTGTATATACCACATTTGACTGTATTGAGCTCTCTGGTACTTTCAAATTCAAATGGAGACATACATTAAACAAAAACTTATTTATTTTGATGTTCAAGTTTATTTTTTAGAATTACTTTTTTATGTTTTATAGATACTTATTTTGTGATACATAAGACATATACATTATGGGACTCTTGTACCTTTTATAGCATAGAAATTGTTAACTATTGGTCACAAAAAAATGTTAAATTAAGTATGAAGTGAAAAATTTGAGAATGTGCATGTAAGTGTAGGAGAGTTGAAATATATCAAATATGGTATTTAATTTTAAGCATCCATGATCTTGTCATAATTTATCAATTCAAATGAGTTTGGATTTCTAGTATATAGATGCAGATTTAGGATTTTGAAAAAGGGGGGCAGAGGGCCCCAAATTAGGCAACCTTTGGAGTGGGACATGTAAAATGTATACGTATTATTAATATGTAGCTCATTAAGGGGTCTCCTAACCCCTTGTCCCCCTCCCACTAAATCTGTCTCTGATATATATATTGTGAATTACATATGTTGTTATATATAATCTTTATCAAGCATAATTTATGTCCCATAGTTTTATATGAGATAGGTAACTTTTACTTTTCTTGCTTGTTCAATGTTATGAATAATGTTTGTTTCTGTGCATTTTATTTAAATCTTTCAGAATGTGATTTTTTAATTCTAATGCAACATCGTTTGTTACGATCATTTGATTGGATAACGCACCAGATTTCATGGCTAACGCGTCACCAGTAAACTTAATTATGCGACCATAAAATCACCAATTGATGCCAACAGAGCTTAGAATACAATACAGTTATCTCCGAAGGTAAAAGTTTATAAATTTGCTTCTCATTTGAATTTTATAATGCTTTGATTTATATTTTCCTTTAGATACATAGATAAACTCATTATAGATACCAAGCTTAAAATTTTGTATGCCAGACTTGCATTTCGTCTACAAAAGGTATCTATAACTTAAAATATTTATATATAGCATTTTTCATGCTGTGTGTCCAATTCATATACCTCAGAAATCATTTGTTTAATGAAAGTAAACATTCATTATGCAGCTGCATTTCAATTAAGAAGTCATATCCATAACTCAAAAGGAGTACATATATCTAAAAAATTTAAGGCAACATCATACATTTGTGTGATGAAGTTACTTATGTTTGACCTGACCTCAATTGTTCCCACCTAAAATTTGTGTTAGAAGATACTGGAGACAGTTAAAAATTGTGTTGTTAAAATGGATAAATGCATATAACTTCAGATACAATACAATTTATTACACCTGTGTTAGTACAAAATTGTTTATGAAAAACAGTGTTTCAGGACTCACAGGACTCAATGTATCTTCAGTCTTATTAAACATTTATAAAAATGTACATCTTTAACATTTTATTAGTGGGTTTTGAAAGATCATAACATAAATATTTCATCAAAGATACCTGTGATTTGCAATTTTATATATGATATTTTGATATATATATTCATAATTATTGAAATTTGTTAAATATGTCATATGTAACATTTTTGTATGCTATTTACTATTATGAATATTGTTTGTATATCATGTCAGTTCATTTTGACAATAAAACCGTGATTTGAATCATTGACATTTTTTTGCTTCTATAAAACTTTATCCTTATATAGTTGTCTCTGGTAACATTTCCAAAATCCATACGAATGGGATCTCTGTTTGATAGAAGTGTTTTAACGGGAAACTTTGTGTATTTCATATTTTTATTGCTTTTTATGATTTTTTTTGTTCTTACTCTATGCAGTTGAATTACCAGTGGTTAAAAAATCTACCAATAAACATTGAAAATTACCTGTCTGTTGTTAAAGACAGTATGTTGGCCTCGAGATGTCTTTTGTTGAAAGACATTATAATAACAATAATAATAATTCTTTATTTAAGGAGGGTTACACAGTTAGCTATAACACTAATCTTCCCTGATGCCCTCATGAAATGCAATGACATATAACAAACAAACAAATTACAAAATAATCAAACGAACACACACATATAAGAAAAATCAAATAAGAAATTGTTATGAAATATACAATTTTCAAAACAGGTAAAAATTATGAATTCATATAGTATTGGCATCATTCAAATTATCTCAACAATATTTAAAGTTTAAGTGTGTGAAAATTATTATGCATATAAAATTACACAGCTTCTTAATGTTCCAACAAATAATTTTTTAAATCGTTTTTGAATGAGCTTGTACTTGAGGTTGATTTTTTCAGGGATATTGGTAAGTTATTCCATAATATAGTTCCTGATTATATAAAAGATTTCTTATACAGCTCTGTTTTGGCTTTTGGAACTTGCAATTTTTTGCAAGACATATTCCTCAAACAATATTGGTTTATTTCTGGCATTTCTTTAAATTTTTCAGTTAAATATACAGGGCTTCATTCATAAGGCATTTCTGCATCAAAACAGATTATGGTATGAGATTCTGTTCTCTACTGTTATCCATCCAAGCTGTTTAAACAGAGGTGCTGATGATGAAAGTGGATCAGCATCTAAAATTAGTCTTGCAGCCCTTTTCTGCAAATTTATTATTCTTACTAGCTCATTTTTAGCACAACCACTACAAATAATACAACAATAATCTATCAGTGGGAGAATATAACCAATATAAAATAATTTTCTTGAATCAATATTTAGAAATTTCTTGATTTTAGAGAGTAAATGAAGTCTAGATGATATTGATGAACATAAGTAATTAACATGGCCTGTCCATGACAGATTAGAGTCAATTCTAACACATAAAAGTTTTTCAATTGATGATTTTTGAAGAATATTATTCTCAATAATTAGAACTGGTTCTGCTTGATTTAAACACAGCCTTGTCTTGTACATTTTGTTTTTTCCGAATTTATGAACATGTTATTTTCTTGACACCATTTTTCAACACATTGAAGATCATCTTGTACTTTTAATAGCATATCAGCAATACTCTTTCCTGATGTATGCATAGTTGTGTCATCAGCATTCAATTCTGTATGGCAGTTTTTGATGTGTAATGGTAGGTCATTTATGTACAAAACAAACAAAATGGGACCAAGCATAACACCAAATGTTGACCTCTAGATGTCTGTTGTTGAAGAAATTATGTTGACCTCTAGATGTCCTTTGTTGAAGACATTATGTTGACCTCTAGATGTCCTTTGTTGAAGACATTATGTTAACCTCTGGATGTCTTTTGTTGAAGACATTATGTTGACCTCTGGATGTCTTTTATTGAAGACATTATGTTGGCCTCTAGATGTCTTTTGTTGAAGGCAGTATGTTGGCCTCTAGATGTCTGTTGTTGAAGACATTATGTTGACCTCTAGATGTCTGTTGTTGAAGACATTATGTTGACCTATAGATGTCTATGTTGAAGACAGTATGTTAACCTCTAGATGTCTATGTTGAAGACAGTATTTTAACCTGTAGATGTCTGTTATTGAAGACAGTATGTTGACCTCTAGATGTCTTTTGTTGAAGACATTATGTTGACCTGCAGATGTCTGTTGTTGAAGACATTATGTTGACCTCTAGATGTCCTTGTTTTTTTACTGTCTCGTAGGTAAATACCCACATCTTCTTTCATTCATATTCAAATAAATCTGATTATTAATAGGCAAATGAGCAAAACAACAAGTCACATAGTGAGTTTGTTTGAACAGGAGAATCCACTACTTTTGTCAAATGATGTCAAATGGGGGGACTAGGAAATTTTTCCTAATAATGAGAATTTGATTTCCCTCTCCAGGTTTGTGAAAAATAACAATGGGAGGCTCTCGAGATATTCTGAGAGTTGAAGCTATATCAAAACAGTTATTTTTTTATCTGTTCTGTAATCCCTTGTCCTATACATATATTGACGGAACTAAAAAGTTCACGTCTATAATTGAAAACCATTTAAACCATGTACTTATGCAGTTTATAATTCACTTCAACAAGCATCTGATGTAGATTTACCAGTTTAAAAATTTCAGTAATTTGTTCTGAAATGTTCTGGAATACTGTACAAATATATCATGCATTTAAGCAAGGCTTTTGTTCAGTTCATTTGGTATTTTTATTATTTCCTGATTACAGTACAATTAAAAATATAAAGAGGTTTCAGCACTGGGTCTTTATCAATACTGGTGGACTGTTAATCCACTAGGGCTTAATCTGCTCAATAGTCAGTGCTTTGGTGGTATGGACATGGTTTTTAACATACCTTTTTCAAACTCTGTTAAAATATTTAGAAATTTTTAGGAACTAAGATTCCAACTAACTTTACTTTAGAAATTAGATGGATTTGGATATTCTTTTTTTGTTTCTTTTGGTCACAAAGCTCCTCAACTATTTAAGTATTTTTACAGGACTTAAATTTTGTTGTACATTCATTTTTTCATTTATAAAATTCAAATCCAAAAGTCTTGAACAGAGTCAGATTTTAAGAAAACATATAAAATCATCTTTTATTAAAAAATGTTTATTTGACAACATCCCATCATTTTAGTTAAGAGGTACAACAAATGTATATTGGTATGTAACAGTGGTGAGTAATTTTCCACTGCACTATCTGACATCTAATCTTTGATCTCTGGCACAGTAAGCATCCACTTTACCAACTGTGGAGGTTAGTTATATCTGTACATCTACTAGTTAAAGAGAAGTACCAGTACTGTTATACTTTATCTTCTTCAAGAGACATTACACCATTAAACAGCCCAAAGCTTAAAGATAGTTAAACTCACTTAGTCTATTTAAACTGGTGGGTGGTTGTCTTGCCTGAAACAAAAGGGGAGGTATTCAAGACATAGGAGCCTCTGGCCTTTGTTAGTCTTGAATATTTTTTTTAGTTTTAGTTCATTTATATGTTTCTGAGTTTAATGTGACGTCCATTTTCACTGAACTAGTACACATTTTTGTTTAGGGGCCAGCTGAAGCCCACCTCCAGGTGCGGATTTTTGTGTTGAAGACCCATTGGTGGCCTTGGGCCGTTTTTCTGCTCTTTGGTCGGGTTGTTGTCTCTTTGACACATTCCCCATTTCCATTCTCCATTTTATAGGTATTACACAACCTGAGAAAAGTGTGACAATTTTTAAAAATTCATTAAACATATGGAACAACAAACAGGAAGTAGGGGTCTGACAGATCAAATAAGTGCTCACACATTTAAAAAATGAATCACTCAAGCTGCTGGCCAAATATGAAGTCATGCTGTTAAGAAATAAAGAAATACCTAAGGAAAGTGTGATTTAAATATTTGTTTGACGAGCAGAAGACTAAGGGGGGGGGGGGGGGCAAGGTGATTGCAATATGGTTCCCACTCCTATACGGGTATAATAAATAATAAAACAAAAACATTTTGTATATATATTTTATTTTCTAACTGTCATACTATAAAAGTAGCTGCAATTAAATGAAAAAAAGATGTTTCAATACATAACAATGTTAAACAGAAAATCACAACAAATGAACATGGCCACTTTAAAATAGGATGGACTTCAAGAAAACGCAATAATTATTTTTCTCTAGGAATATTTCACTTCTTCTAATGAAGTCAAAAAAAAATACCTTAAAAATATCATAGTTTTTTTCTTTTACCTATTTTACCAATTCTACTCTTTTACTTGAATATTTTCCTAGATGAGAAAACAGTGGTGATATTCAGCAACTACTGTGTATAACCAAATAACAAAATGCGCATTTGTGGTAACAATTAAAAAAACAACAAAAACTTGTATCATAATTCTAACAAAAAAAAATGTGAAAATTCTGATGAAAAACTTTGAAACTGACATTATTTGCTTGTGGCTATTTCACAATTTTAAAAAAATGTGGTATATAAACTTAGAACAGTTAACGACTTTTTTCCTTCCTTGTGAGAAAGGGAAAAAATCAAAATGTTAAACAAAACCATTATTAAACACACTAAAACAGTTTAAAACAATTACACCTATTGGTCAGCAAGTAGTTTTTGATCTTGTATCTGGTAGGCCAAAATGCATGTGATGTAATGTTTGATCAAGAGTCTTTACTTTCCCTGAAAACCAATACATTAATACCTACCAAGCACAATGGCAAGAATTACTTACTGACCACATGACATATCACAAAGATATCACAGTCTATGAGTAGTTAGTTAAACCTGAGGTGACTGATAATACATAACATGTACCAGACTGATGATGTAGCTGTGTATATAATACAATATATGCAAATGAGTTGGTAACATCTTGCAAGTATTTAAAACATTTAAATAAAACAGATTTATTATCTGTACAAGGCACAATAAAGATAAACAAGAAGAAACATCACAAAATTTAAGGCAACAAAAAACTTCACATAAATTTAGAGTCCCAAATATTTTTCTATTGAAAATTTGCTGAAGCTGAAATAAAATAGCTGTACAGGTTAAGAGTTGTTTTTTAATGAACTAAATTTATGTGGACACTAGTTTGAAATAATTCAAATTATCAACAGTTTGTTTTGTTTATTTTCATCCAATATAACAATACTTTGAAGGTTCATCAAAGTTTATGAAACATACAAGTGATTCTCGAATACATGATATACAATTAAGGACTATTCAAAGAAAAAAATGGATTGGGGGTTGGACAACACTTCTTTTTTCATTCTCAACCACTCCCTTTACCCATTAAAAAAGATATTCTGTGGTGACCAAACCTTCCATACATTTTTTCCTGTAATAGCCCTAACTTCCTTTGAGTATAAAAACTGATATGTTTTCTGTATTAAATAGAATATACATTAGTATATAAATAACAACAAAATGGACGGTAAAAGTATCACAGTTATAGGTATAACAACAAAGCATATAGTTAACATATCAACATTTTATAAACATACAAACAGCTGTGCCATGAAAGCATGATATGGCCGTTCCCCTATCGTTGTCAAATAAGCCTTTAATTTTGTTCAACAAAATTCATGAGGGGATGTAAACACATTTGTTCATGAAATAAGTTCTGCCTGTACATTTGGAATGACAATAGCCGAAATCTTCAATGTCAAATGGAGCTTACTGTTCATAAGATTCTGTACAAGTTTAATGATATTTATTTAAAACAAACTTTTGTTATAGTGCCCTATTTGAAATGTGAATGGAAGGATGTTATTCCATAATGCATTATTTTTTTATTTGAATGTAAATTAACAAAAGGACTAACACAGAAGTTTTCACATCTAATATTTAAATCAAATTCTCCCTTGCATGCAATATGTATTTTATTTTAACATGTTATGTCAGCAAATAGCTATAATGCCTTTCAATTTATTGCCAAATTTCCAATACTATCTACCAAATGTAAATGTACTTTTTACTTAAAATATTACATGAAAATGATTTCTATCATTAGGCAACATATCAGATCATTTCTTGGTCAAGTTCCTTTGTATTTCTATTAAGGTTCAATCATACACAACAGATGTTCTGTTGCTGAACAAAGGAATGCACACTGTGAGATAAACATTCCTTTTTTTGCTTATAACCTTTTTCTCGATATTTAAGGCATTAAAAAATTGATACGTTTCTAGATTCATTAAAACAGTAATAAAAAACATTTAAATAAGACAAACAAAATTCTCTTTAAAATTTGATTTGGCACATGATGAATGAGATGAAAAATGTGCTCATCTATATACAGTGCTATATTATATATAAATATACATATCAGGTTTAAAAAAATCTAGACATGATCAAGAATTTTAAGAATTCTTTATGTAAAAGTTTGTCAGAAAAATTCATAAATATCTATTTAATACTTCATAAGGGCTGTTCAATTAAAACATACATTGTGACCAGGGAAGGCACTTTGAAAATAAGGTTACCATCTATATAGGCAATTTGAGTACTTCTATTACACATTCACTATTCTAAATACCCACCCTTAGATGAGACTTTGAAGTGCTTTCCATGGGGCTCGTGTATGTTTTTTTTATTAAATAACCCTAAATGCAAAAATAAAAAACAAAGGAATTTTTCTTTTCCTAGAAATTTATTAAAATTATACCAATGCCACAAAAATTAAATCTTTAGCATTTCCACAGGCCAGTTTGAAAAAATACTTCAAGTAGGCTTGGCATTCTTCTTATCATTTTCAACATCAAATATCTTTTTGAATCAGAGCTATAGCTATAGTCTATTTGAATGTTTTTTGCCTATGAACAAGTCCATTAACAAGGTTTTTTACAATTCAATATCTTCTGATCATTTTTCACTCCAAAGTATAAAAACCAAAGTTTCCGTTTGTTTAAAAAAGAGTAAAATAAATACATAGAGAATAAAACTTATAAGCTTAATAATGTATCAAGTAAAATTATTATATCTTAGTCATACAACTATGCTTGTAAATAACCGTATGACAATTCCTTAAGAAAAATAAAGAAAAAATAAATATATATATATATAATTTAGACTTGTTTATATATATATATACATATATATTTGTGTATATGTGTAATTGTGTGTGTTTATATATATATATATATCCTCTTTTAACAAACATTGGGTTGTAAATAAATAACATATAAATCTTAACATATTTTAACAAAGTATAAAAATATAAATGTTCTAACATTTAAAGCACATTTACAAACCATAACTTTACATTGCTGATACTACTTTTCCTTTTTACTACATTCAATATTTCCCATTGAAGTTTTACACTAATAAATAAGAAGAAATTATATTTTCAGCCCTGAAAAAATTATCTAAAATTTATTAATACTATTTTCTATCTTCCTTGTGTTGATACAACTACCATCTATTTCCATTAAACTAAACATTGCTAAAGAGAAACAATCCGGTAATTTCTGAATTAGAGAAACCTTTATTGATTTCACATTTTCTTAATACCCTTTACCTTTAGTCTTAGTTTAACTACAGGGAAACTACAATGTAGATGTAGATTAAAAACAACATGTTAAATTTTTTGGAAGAAAAATGCTAAATAAATAAATGAGTTTTTGAAGAAATTCCAATAGGAAATTTCAATATCCTGCAATACACAAATAAATAAATAACATATACAGACTAGTCATTGTAATATGGACGGAATATAAAAACTAATTATAAAACTATGATGAAGTACTGCTAGAACGTCCCCCTGTAGGTGGGCGTGACCTCCGATGAGGTGATGGACTTTTCCTTCGGTACGATGCACTGGTACGGCCTGACTGTACACTGGATCTACCAGACTGTGGTAGTGGAGGTTTAGCACTTGTAGGAGTCATTCTTGCTGTTCTGTTGTCCTACAAATCAAAAATGGCTATTTTAAATTCAAATTAACAGTAATTAAACTTATGGTGTTGTCATGACCAAAACACACTTTAAATACTGGTATATAAACCAAATATCATTTTAAATCTTGAACACAGATAACAATATAACTGTATTAAACATAATTTTCTGGAAGATTTATTCTGTGAAAACTTATGTATTTATCTAGAAACACATGATAAAAAATCTACTACACTTTTAGTTTTTATCCAGTCATAAATATTTGGGTACTTTGCCTGCATCAGACTATGGGCTATGTTTTCTAAAATAATTCTCATTACAAACATGTGCATTTTCTTATTTTCTTTCAGACACAAATTTCAACTCCAACATTAATGTAAGGTGTTAAAAAAAGTAAATGTTTAAAGTACTTTCTGCAATATACATGTTTTACACATGACTTCTTAACTTAAATATAATTAGTGCAAAATGATTCTGTAATTATCATATCTAGATGCTATGCTGATACAAATTGATATATCTTACATGAAAAATTCTGCATTCAAACATCACATGATCATTGGTTTCTGTTGAATATGTTTATTTTTTAGCATAAATCAGGGCATTGACTTGTTTAAGTATAGACAATATTTTCAACTTTTAAATTGCATGTGATGATCAATTCTCGACAAGGACAATATAATGTTTCTATTTATTTATTACCTATTTGTAAATGATTTTGATACAGTTATTAAACTTCATTTCACACAATTTCTATGTAAGCTCAGAAACACCAACAACTCAGAGCTTTGAAAAGTCTAGTCTAGAGTCTAGCAATTGAAGTTAATCAAGAATAAATAAATCTAGGACATTGTTAATACTATATTTTGTAGTAGAACACTGATGCTTCAGTTAATACATTCAAAAGTATGGCATGCTGGTTTGTCCCTTTTCAAATAAATACACTTAATTCAATACCAGCTAAGAATTTATTAGTTGAAAATTCTATAAAGATATATTAAATTAGTGAGTTTGAAATGATTGGTAGTTGTGTTTATAATTTTCTATACCAAGTTTTATAAGTATCTTTTTCAAATAAACGAGTGTGAATATTATATGATTAAAATTTGGTCTGAAAAATTAACTCGACAAATTTTTGGGGAGATATAAATGCAAAATGTAAACTGTAAGGTTTTTCAATGTGAATGCATATTGACTACAATTTTTAGGTTAGTTTAGGGGTAAAATTTGATTTTTTATTTGTAGCAATTTGCAAAACTGCTCAGTTTTGACTGTTCATTTGAATTTTAATAAATTGTACAGGGTAATCCTACATTAAAGTCAAAAGTTGAGTAAAAATTTAGACCCAGGCATCCTCTTATTGAACCTTGTTCTCCATCATAACTAAATAAAAAATATCATTCAACTGCAATCTTCATTACTCTTTTGCACCAAAAAGTCAAAAATTCAAAGAATATGCAAACAAATGTAAACCCTATAAGCTAACAAGTTGAACTGTGGGTTACTGCTCACTAATGTGACACTTGCTATAAGTATTCGGTAACAGGAAATTGATAAGAGATGGATGGGAAAATGCATCACACAGTAAAGCATGCTCACATGAAGTTTGATACCAAATTTCAGGAAGCTCTGATTTGTAATGCCTGAGAAGTCAGGAGCCTGTAATTCAGTTGTTGTCCATTGTTGCTGTATATAATATTTGTTTTTCTTTTGTTGTTCCCTACATAAATCAGGGCGTTGGTTTTCTTTTTGGATTGTTTTAAATTTAGTTATGTCAGGCACTTTTATAGCTTGCTATGCAGTATGGGTTTTTCTCATCTATAGCTGCCAACTTTTAGGTCATCTGGCCTCTGGTGGATAGCTGTCTCATTGGCAATCATATCACATCAGGGATGGGCACGATTACTGACAAATGTAATCGATTATAATCGATTACATGAGAGATTTTTGTGTAATCGATTAATAATCGATTACTCAGATTTTAGTATGTAATCGATTGCAATCGATTACTTCATAACAAGTAATTACATTACTTTTCGATTACTGTCAATTACATGCTTCAAAATTGAAAAAAAATATATAGTAAGCTAAACAAAATTATCATTTTATTATGTTATTCAACGTTTGTATACAGTTACTGTTGTGGAAATTTAGAACTTTATCATAAACAGCATTTAAAGCATTTTTTTTGAAATTATAAGTTGACAGTTGTCTCCTAGACGGAATCTCTTACTGAGAATCAGAAATATTAAAAAAATCTTTTAATTTTGAAGTTCAACATGAATGAGAAATGACATCGCATTGCATCAATCCCTTATTTGTATCAAAGGTTTTTTTCAAAAATTTTGCTTTCATACTGACTTCAGTTACCCTTTATATTTGTACTGATTAAAAACAGGTATATTTTAATTACAATGTTGGAAGTTTTCTCTGAAAAAAAATAAAAAGTAGAATAATTAATTAGTTCTGGGCTATTCCAGAAAAAAATGTATGGGGGGGTTGGAAGGCACTTTTTTTTAATGCCCATGACCCATACAATTTGATTTTTTTGGCGACCCATAACCCAAACAATTAAATAGAGGTTTGATACTACCACCACCCATCTAATTCAAACAAAAAAAAAAGAAAGTCAATACAGCAGTGTAAGAAATTGATATGGTCTACTTAAAAACTAGTATATTTTTTAAGTATGTATGTCTTAATGACTTTCAACACAACCATTGTAGAATTAGGATACTAAGGCTGAAAAATTTCAATCTTCAGATCTCCTTTTGTACTTCTATATAATCTATATCAAAATATAAAGGGTAGATTCCAACTGTGGCATGGCTTTTTCAAGTGTAAAAAGGGTTAGGAGTTTCTAAGTCAAAAATCCAGAAATCACCACTTTTGTGTAAAAATTCCCCTCCACCAAATTAACAAAAATTCCATGAAATAAATTACAAAGGCATTGCGGGAATAGTATGTCAAGAATTTTCAGCAAGCTGGTATATTTCTTATAATTACAATATTCAAATCTAAAATAGTGGTCTATTATGAAATTTTTTTTTTCAATAAAATGAAGTTTTTTAAAACAAAAAATTCAAAGCTGGAATCCTTTTCATTAAAACATCATTCTCTTGCAGTTGAAAAGTAAAATAATTTTTTTGTGTATTTCAATAATCAGTAAAACGGATTTTAAAGAAAATCCATTTTAAGGGGAAATAACTCCACATAAAAAATAAAAAAACATAAAAAATTTCCGAGATTCATTACTGTTTCATCACCTTTTATAAAGCTATATTTTATTTTATTTATATACAAAAGCTTCCAAATCTTAATAAGTTAATGTTCAACCACCCATCTAATTAAATTGTGGAGAAGAACAACTACCCACAGAATTACATTTGCTCCAACCACCACAACCCATGCAAAAAAAGATAAACTGTCGTCCAACCCTCTCATACATTTTTTTCTGGAATAGCCCTCTGCTAATTTTAAAGATCAAAATTTATAATTATTATGACATGCATAATTTAATCCTTTTGTTTGTATATAAAACCACCCTAATTACAGGTTATAAAACTGTCAATGGAGTACAATTGATAACCTGGGGCAAAATAATGTAAATCCCCTTCTTAATTAGACATAATTGAAATGAAAACAAATGATAATCTTATTGATTAGAAGACTTTGATCATTTGATTAGTAAAGACAAGAAGTTTGCTTAGATTTTTTTATTCTTTAATAAATTATAAACAATATATATTTATATTGTCAAATTAGGATACATGCATCTACTAGTTTGGAAAGAGAATTTCAATGCATAGCCATTGGTTTGTTGTCAAAAGGATTTTGTGTACTTTCTTAATTTTTATACATAATATTATAACATTATAAGGAATCAACTGTTTATCTATTCTAAACTAAGTAAATAAGCTTACTACTTCAATGTAGTACAGAATTTAACTTTAAACACATTTGTTATTTATTTCTTTTTTCTTACTTCAAATCTATTTTCTTATTTTAATATAAAGGTCTGAAATTATTGACATGCACATAAATTAATTTGATATAAAGTTTGGTTGATCATAAATTAAATGTAGCTTGAGACAATAGATAGAAATAAGGTGGTTGATAAACTCTCAATACATTCTATTTTATCTGTACTATAAAGTGATGAATACATACATATTATCATTTAAAATAGGTTATATTTCATCAAACTATTTTACTAAAGTAATCGAAATGTAATCGAAAGTAATCGATGATTACATCACAATTTTTGCTGTAATCGATTAAATTACGATTACATGTAATCGAAAATGTCCTCGATTACAGATTACTGTCGATTACTGTAAAAAATGTAATCAATTACAATCGATTACGATTACAGATTACGATTACCCCATCCCTGTATCACATCTCCTTATTTTATATAAACTTTACAAGACAAATGGACAGGGGTAAACCAGTATAAGCCTCCTCCTACTGAGGGGGGGATGACTTGTGTAATTAAGAAAATATTTGTATTCAACTTTTCCTGGTATACTTGAGAAAAATAGCATGAAAAGCAGTATACACACAGAACATGGACAGCATAGAAGCAGAACAACTTAACAGTTTATGAATAGAATAAAAGATCAATGGTCAACTTTGTCTAAGAAAGAGATAAGCAATATTCTTTACGAACATTTGTTAAATTGACCAACTGTCAAAGTTTCATAAATCCAGGAAGTTCAAGTCAGTCTTTCATTGAAGGAAATTAACTATCTCACATTGAACAGTACATGAAATCAAATGAGCAAATATTTGCTGTCACGATTCAAAGTGATTGTTTCTGTCTAAGTAATTTGGCACATAACTTAAAACTGCTATCAGTCGTAATATTGCGAAATTCCTTTACAATATAAAAATAAGGAGATGTGGCCTGGTATGATTGCCAATGAGACAACTATCCACCAAAGTTCAAACGAAGTTGACGTAACCAATTATAGGCAACCGTACTGCCTTCAACAATGAGAAAAACCCATACCGTACAAGTCAGTAATAAATCCTTTATCAATTCTAATATGATTCAAACTAATCCCTTGGTTACAATAGTATTTCATTATTTTTCAAATAAATATAAACTATCATATTCCAATAATTTTCAAATGGATAAATTACAATTGAATATGGCATGCAAACCAAACTAACAAAAACTTGTACAATTGTATTTTCTATACTAATTAATGTGAATTAACCAACAACCTTAACAGGAGAAATAAAAGATAAAGCTCCTTTAAAGAGAAGATACAACATTATTAAACCAAATACATATAAATCATGCTGTCTGTCTTAATCCCTAACCATGCATTGTTTTTATTACTTACGGAGACATATCAGAATCCTGTTTAAAATTATATACTTAATCAACTATGCCAACTAACATTTTCATTATTACAGATATACATGTATTTATATTCAAAAATATTTCTTGTTTTATATCTTGCATTGTTTCATTTAAAAAACTTTAAAGCATTATTGCAACATGACCAATTCTCTAAAATTAAGTTGTTACTTCTCATCAATTTAATGTTTTTTTAAATAGATTTTAAAGATCTTATTTTTTTTTTTAAATGTCTGGATGTACAAATTTGAATGTTAACAGTATTCTCTGCATAAAATCTTGGATCCTCAGAAAGTTTTTGATAACTGATTAATAATCATTGATTGCAAAATACATTTGTATTATTTAATAAAAAATAATTTCATTTTATAAAATTTAGTAAATACTGGTGTGTATGCATCAAATGAAAAAGTTCACCACAACTGAAAAAGAAACGATCTACACAAGAATGCCAACCATACAAAAGAAATGACATATCCCTCATGTAAACACCATAGTTTCCAAATTTGTATATATCTACTGAGAAAGACTGTAAATGGGATAATAGTCTCCCTTGAGATTAGAACCGACTTTATCTATGTGAAGAATTAATAATTCACCTACTTGCAGAACAAATATAAAAGTGGTTATCCTTGAGATGGATTTCTCTTAGTACAAGAATTAATAACTTGTCCCCCATATGGGAAAATGTAAAACAGATTTACTAATCCTTGGATGAACAATGATGATGGATAGCTTGTTAATGTCCAGAGGCAAATTTTAATGTAGAGGAGAACAAGTTAATGTGATATGAATATGAACCGATTTGTACTAAGTGGACACAGTGAACCAGACTTTATACAGACTAGTTCACAAGGCAACAGTCAGCAGAAACACATGTCAACCTTCCTAAACACATTATTCTTACTCTGAGCTGACAAGTTGTTGTTCTTACGTACATACTCCTTAATGTCATTTGCTTAGCAGTGAAGCAGCAATACCAATTATAAAGTCTTTGGCATAACCTGACTGGATCAAACCCACAACCTCCCGCACTCAAGGCAAGCACACAACTACACAGAGGCAGTTTCCTTGGATCAAGGAATTATCAATCAACTATCTCAGGAGGATTGATATAATTTCTAACTCCTTGGTGATGGAATCAATGATTCACCTACCTGTGGAACAGAATGTGAAAGTGGTCTCCCCGCTGGAGATTTGGATGGACTTCCAAATCCTTTAGGTGGAGGAATCAATGGTCCAGCTTGATCATCTTCCTCATTTATTGTATCATAAGACTGGCCAATCAATTCCATTTCTAAATCTTCACTCTCTAATGACTGTGTCCGGTGGACTGGCTTTCCAGATTTTGGAGGACCTTCTTTTATTGGAACTGCATGGCCATTTATTTTTGGTGGTTCAAAATCATCTTTTGTTTCTTCATCCATGCTCTCATACACCAATCTACAAATTATAGGAATATTTGTATAAATCATTTATAGATTCTGGATAAAAATAGAATTAGGATATCTAGTGATCAAAGATAGTACTGCACTCCACTGTTGAATAGAAAATGTAGACTCTGTCAAAATAGATTTTAATCTACTCTAGTCCATGTGTCTATATTCTGTGAATAGAACATTTACTATCCTGAAACAAAAAATAATTCCAAATTTTAAGCAAGTAAGGGGCATAACTTTTGATCCATCATGTCAAATCCATCAAAATCCCCTTCACCCTGTAGGAAATATGTTGAATCTGAATGTATTTGGTCAAGTGGTATTTAAAGTTATCATTGGTATACCAAAAAAAAAAAAATTAATCAACTAAATGGTATAATGCTTGAATTGTAAATTACAAAACCATAAAAATAGAACTTGACAGTATTTAATTGTTAGTTGTACCTTATAAAGGTCAAATTTGTCTTTTCATAATATTATTTTATATCCAGCTAGTCTTATCTAACCTTTGTTCATGCCTCTGAGGTGGTTGTTTAGAAAACTTTGGAGCAGGAACACCAGACTGTGCCCTTGGAGGTCGGGTAGTTGCAGAGGGTGGTGGATGGAGTGGGGCAGCATATCCCCTGGGAGGTTCGATATCCATTGGTGGAGATTTCAAATCCAAATCTCGCTCCCTCTCCCTTTCTTGTTCCCTTTCTTTCTTTTTTCTTCTCTTTTTCCTCTTTTCTTCCTTTCTATCTAAAATACTTAGCATTGGAGGTTTTGGTGCATTTTCTAATGGCATTAACATGGGTGGTGGTATACGTCTTCCTTCCACAACACCTGAAATACAAATAATTTGTTGTTGATGACAGATCTCTGGTGATGTTTATTATATTTGTTTACAATTTGTCTAAAGAGAAGAGATTGGCATTAATTATGAACTTTTCTCAGGGGTTAAAAAATTTGGTTATAGCTCACTATTCCAGGACTTATTGGTAGCAGGATTTTACTAGTCCTGTTGGAAGAACTGCTAGCCCAGCCAAACAGACCTGCTAGCCCGGGCTTCCAACAAATATTTGAGTCAGCTGGACATTTTCCTCTGATTCAGATTTCAGTCCCGTAAGACTTAGTAATAAAGGCAATCATTGTAAAAATGTTGGCATCATCACAATGATTAACATAAAAACAATATCAGACTTTTGATATAAATTTGATGTTATGACGTAAACTTAAATTGACAGTGCATCATACGAAATGTTCAACATGAGTGTACTAAAATCTGCCTTAGACTCTTTATTAATGCAATATCACGTTGTCAGAACTGTACTTTCCTTTTAAAAGCACATTTCCTAAAACCGGATGTTCACTTGACAATGGTTAAACAATGACCAGAGATGGACACATAAAATCCCTGTACGCTTTCAAAGCAAAATTAAGTTTGAATAGTTCTTTCCACTTTATTGAAAATACATCAAAAATGGACGTTAGATAAAGGTACCAATGATATTGTAAGCATTATTGAAGAATTTGGATGCAAAATTAAATCTCAAACCTTCACACATGCGCACACGTGTATTAGTTTCAACAATGTGGTTCTGTCGAATTTTTACTTAAAACTTTTTTTTAATTCTTTTTTAAATTTATCACTAGAATTCTATTTTAATATGTATTTCTGATAGGCTAAATCATTTTTACTAAGTAACAGGTCATATCAATCAATGCATCATACTCCCAGTACCATTAATTGAAAGTTTCGGCTTCAGCAATGAACAATACCCCCAGTACTGAGAAATCGATATTGAAAGTATGGGAATTGTGATCAATACATGATACCGGTCCACCCACAGTTATTCGTTCTATTTTTAAAACACGTAATAAAATCAGTTCAAATTCCAGGAATCCTGGATGAAGTAATTGAATCCGATTGGCTAAGATAAAAATAGTGAGGAAGGGATGGCGGAAGGAATTTTCTATTTTCATTTTGGTAACACCAAGAACTTTTTTTTACTAGTCCGTCAGGCATATTGATGACACGTTTTGATACCCCGAAGCATAAATGTTTTAGTCCTGGGCTTCAGACTAGTGGATTTTTTTAACCCCTGTTTCTTTAATTGTTGAAGACGGCATTTTGTTCTATGCATGTCTCCACTAGTAATTGGTAGTGTTGGGTTGCTGTCTCATTGACAGTTACCAACATCTCCTTTTATTCAATTAAAGTATTTAAACTTTGCATGGTTATTTTTTTACTTGTTTTTATGTGTCACATGATGCTTTCTAATTACAAACATGTAATAGGTGAGCTTTTTAAATCTGAATTACTATTGAATCAATTTAGGATTGTTATAGAAAGTATGTTTTTAGGTGTCAGAATGCACATTTTATTTAACCTTGCCATGCATACATTTCAAATGATCAAAAGCCTTATAAATAACAATATGTGATAACAACAAACCTGGGGGTTTAGAGCCAGAATCTGGTCTGTTTGAATCTATTGGAGGCGGAGGAGATGGTTTTTGTATAGGCAAATCATTGCTCTGACTTGACAGTGGCGGACTGTATATCTGGTCTCTTGATCCTGGCTGTGTGGGTGACGGTGTTCTTCGTGGAGGTGGACGTGGCTTGGGCATACTTGGTTGCCTTGGTGCTGGCCTCGGTTTTCCTGGTGGAAAGTTGTCAGTATTACTGTTCAATGGGGGATTGAAATTCGGGGAAATAACTCTTTGGTTAAATTTTGAAGGAGGCTTTGGTTGCATAGATTTGTTGCCAGGGAATTCCATTGATCTATTTTTAGGAAAATTATCCTGTCGGCTATTTAAGAATCCATCAGAACGACTTAAAGCTTCATTTTGACGGAAATTATCCCTTCTATCATCTGGGTACTCGTTATAGTCTTGTGATGAACTTTGCTGTCTGTATGGAGGCTCCTAAAAATAGGTCACAATCAATATATCATATATACAAACATTAAAAACAATACTCTTTATATAAAAAAAAACTTGTACTGAGCAGTACAAAATGTATTTTAATTTAATAATAAACTAACATCTGAAAATAAAGTCATTTTATCTATATTTAAGCCTCCAAAGAATCTGAAAATGACTTTCTATGCCAGAAAATGGTAAAAAGTAGACTTATATTTAATTCAACAGTGTTTTTGTATACATTTCAGCCTCTACAAAAAAAGAAAATGATATTTTCTACACCACAAAGTGTTTAGTGTTTAGTCATCAACATTTGTTTTTCATTTAAAGTTTATTCAGGTATTATTGGCATTAACGTTTTTGAGAAGTGATTTTTTTGTTATTAAACATGTTAAAACTGAGTAGCCTTAATAGGTACATAATAAAGCTTTATCACAACATACCAAAGGCTGTGCATAGGATTTCTGTTGTTGATTTCTTCTTGGTGGTGGTCGAGGATGGTGCATTGACCCACTTGTATCTGACCTTGTATCTGACCTCCGTGATGTCATTGGAGGACCTTTCTCATCATCCTCAATATCTGAAACGTCCATTCCACCAACACTGACATTATCAATATCATCATCTGGATTGGCTAAAAATTGAAATTTTTTATGTCAATTCATGTACATATTTTTCAAACATTTGAGCTATTTCCATATTTAACAACACAAATTTTGAAAAATGCTTGTTGCAAAGACATGATGTTGGCAAGTAAAAAATTGAAATCTAGTATATCACTAAAGGAATCAGTCATATAAAACATTATATTTCAGCTACATTTGTAGCGATATGAAAATAAGATGTGGTATGGTGTCAATGAGGCAACTATCCACCATAGACCAAAGGAATCGGATGTAAACCACTATTCCAGCACATTAACAATGACAACACCACATACTATTTAACAATTTGAATGACTGCTAAATGTTTTAGAATCATATACAAATTGATAGTGAAAAGAACTATTTTAATCATATAAATATACTCGGGGTATTCTGTAAAGGACCTAAACTCACCTCTTTTTTTGGGGGTCTGGTATTCACAAAAATTTCTGAAAACAGTTTCTATCAAAAAAATTGGCCTGGGACTTACTTCAGTAAATTCCCACCCAGAGCCCTGAATTACTTACATCTATTATCATCTTCCATATCGACATCATTAGGTCTTTCTAGCACTTCGTATTCAGAATTAAATCTCCTGTCATCATTAAAATGTCCATCCCCTGTGGAATTTAATCGTCTATTAACGTTCGAATGAAATCCACTATCAACAGTTGAATTAAAACGACCGTCTGCTGAATCTAATCCATCTTCCGAATTAAACCTATTGTCTCTAGAAGATTCAAATCTATTGTTTGGCTGGTTAAACCTATTGTCACTTGGAGGATCAAATCTGTTATCATCTCTCCTCCTATGTTCATTAGGAGGGTCAAATCTATTATCCTCTGTCCGCCTATATTCACTGTGAGGGTCAAATCTGTTATCCTCTGTCCGCCTATGTTCACTGTGAGGGTCAAATCTATTATCCTCTGTCCGCCTATGTTCACTGTGAGGGTCAAATCTGTTATCCTCTCTTCTCCTATGTTCACTAGGTATTCTACCATCTGCAGATGTTTGCCTGGGATTTAAAGAAACCTGCAAAAATAATTCATTTATATGAAATTTTTAGGTAAAATACAACTGTTTACACAGGAATATGTCTTGCCTACTTTGCAGCAAAATTGAAAACATAAACTTTATAAACAGCTACACAGCTACACAACTGCAAGTTCATGGGAGTGGATAACCCCCTTTTTAAAGCTTGCTGATCATAAATCAGTCTACTGAACAAAGCAATCATTTGAAACTACATACCAAAATTCTACAAATTATCTTTAGTGCTTATTCTAAAATCTAGTCAGAAAACTTAACAATAGGGAAGTGTGCAACTGTGATCGGGGTCAGCTAGCTGAAATAAAGAGTGATGTATACTATTGAATTTTGATTATTATCATTATTTTTTAGCACCTTTTCTTCTTACTTTTATTTCAGGCCATTTTTTTCAGGACTCTAAATTGGGAGAGAAGGAAAAAAGGAAATAGTAATGACTTGATACAATATCAGACTTCAAGGGCAAATCTAGGATATTGCACATAATTCAATTTTTGTTACAAACCTCTATTCTTTCATTGTGTCTCCCTGTATCTCTCCTTGTATACTGTTCTCTATTTGAATAGGAGCTAGGTCTGCTGTCACTTGTTAAGGATGATCTCCCTTGTTGGAGATCTCCACCAGCACTAATAATAAGTCTTTCCTGGTCTGCTGGAATGTAAGAGCGCCCTCTGTCAGGAGAAGTCAGACTGTGGGATCTTCTGATTGGATGTCTTCCTGTTCGTGGTCGCTTGGGAGGATGAGGTGGAGTAATTGGCATATTATCAAAACTGTCTTGAGTATTCTGAAATATAATAAACTTGACTTCAGGATAAACTACATTAACTGACTTGCTCTTTCAACATATATTTTCTACTTTAAAATATTATTTGCAACCATTTCAATTTAGACCATCACCCAGTACATTAGAATGTCACAAATACAATTGACGGTTTTAAAGCCTTGCTTTTCAATTTGTTATGCATTGTTTCTAGATACTTTTGTGATGATTTTAAGAGCTTTAAAGCTATCACTTGATCAACCCTTGACAAACTTTACAGGGGAGGAATTGAGTTCTTATTATATTTATTCAATTTTACTCTATAATATTATGCCTGTCAAAAGTTTGTAATCTATGTGAGTAGTTATAAGATTCTCTCAATTGTTGTTGACTCTAGGTTTGAATATACATTGTAACGTAAATTAAGTTCCCACTTTAGATAAAATTAGAGGAACATAAAGAACATCTGTCCTTAGAATTTCTTTATCTTCTACATTTTTTTATCTAGTATTTTATGTATTTATGAAATGCAATTCTCTCATTGAATTTTTACCAATTCTATCGTTTAATGTTTCCAGGTTACTGATTACAGCTACTTTCTTGTTATCACTGAAAGCCACAGATTTTATAAACTTAAGTATTGCTTGCGCTCAGTGTTACCATTTCATCATATCAGCATGTCTATAAGACACATCTATGCTCATATTGGCAATCAATTACTCAATGTTGTCAGCATAAAGTTCTAATGTCTCCAATGGATGCATGAAAGACCTGACTTTCAAGTTTATCAACAACAATCCCTACAGACAAAATTTGAGTCTTTCCTTATGAATGAGTTAAGCCAGTTGATCTGAGGTTACGAAGTAAATTGAACAATCAACTTTTATTGTGATGTAATAACATAAGCATTGTGACATTGTTAGAGCTATTTTCCTAATGCTTGTAGTTAAAAGGTTTGGTTGGCTTGCTGCTTTGTTTGTATAAATGTTTGCTCAAGCTTTGTAATTAAGATTGACATCTGCAATCAATAGATAGGCGGGGCTTCAGCTTGTATACATTATACTTTAATGTTGTTAAGTATAATGGTCAATCTTAATAACAATGGTTGTGCAAACATTTATACAAATAAAGCAAGCAAGTCAACCAAACCTTTGAACTACAAGCATTAGGAAAATAGCTCTAATGTTTGTGAAATTACATTAAATAATAAATGTGAAAGTTGTCAATATTTGTTCGACAAAGGTTTAAAATAAACATATATCTCTAGCATGATAACTTACAATCATGTGATCATAATCATCACCATTCATGTACCCGTTTAAACTGCCAAGACTCAGACCGAGGCCATTAGGAAGAGGACTTGTGGGATTACTTTTTAATCTTTGGCGCTGATGTGACATTATAATCAACTGACAATAATGTAACTGTTTATTTCTGGCGTAGTCCCATGGCGAAATGTTGAACTTGTCCCTAGCTTCCAGATCAGCTGAAACAAGACATTATCAAGTGTTATATATTAATCATGCAGCATACTGAAGATTATCCAGCATGAGTTAATAGCTATTAGTATATTGCAGTATTGTAAAGAGTTAATAGCTATTAGTATATCGCAGTATTGTAAATTCTCCTCTGGTGATTGATGTAAAAGATGATTTGTTTCTTACAAAATTCATTATTATTACTTAACCTTATGCATAGTTGTTAAAATTTATGTCATTAAATCCCCATACTTAGTTGTTCATTTGTAATTTTGGTTTTTATTGTTAAACATATTTTTGGAAATGTTTTAATATTTGTTTCTGTGGAATTCTTCTACACAACATGGCAATGATGTGACTTGTGGTTTACATATCAACTGATAATCATGCATATGCTTACCTTTAAAAATGCTAACAGTTATCAAAGTAACAGAGCAACTCTATAATTGGTCATTCTAATCTTGTTTTGAGATTTTCTACTCATTGCAGAAGACCTCTGATTATAGATCAGCAATAAATGCACAGTTTCTTTGATTTAAGGTTATTTTCTTATATACCATGTGATTCTTATCTCATTTACAACCCCCACCCCCCACCCTAATCCCTTTAATTTGTTTTATTCCCAATTATACACTGTTGAAAAAAAAAATGATTATGCCTATGGACAATTATAATCATAAAACTCTATAAATTAATTGATTATTTTTATGGTAATATATCAGTCTGATGCATACAACTACAGTAATTATTACCTCCCTTGTCCAACAGATAATTAACCACATCACCATGACCACCAATAGCGGCCAGATGTAACACGGTCCTATCTTGATTATCTCTGTCGTGCACACGATTATATCCTCCAATTTCAACTATTATCTTGCAAGCTAACAGAGAACCTTTCAATTAAAAAAATATCTTCATATAATGATAATAAAATACCTACTTGTTTAATATATAAACATACATGTAATATAGGTTTTGATTTCCTTAAGGTCTTGTCTAAATATTCAAGGTAGACAGGTGTCTTTCTATTCTCAGTATTGCTTATGAATAAAAGGAAATGTGATGTAAATATCAGAGACATTCACATACTGTATATTCAGAAATTTTAATGATTTTTTTATTTTGAAAAAAAATTGCTACATATTCAACAATTTTTTGTTAAATATTAATGAAGGTCAAGGTCACCTCATTTAAGTGTGGTCCTTCTTCACTACAATGATACCAACTTACAAAAGATCATTCTTCTATAATTTATAGTTGCTTAGATCTGAAACTTAACGCAAAGCTTAACTGGGACTGACAGAAGGAAGAAAGAAAGAAATGCTGTAAAGATTACATCCCAAGACTACATTTGTATGTCCTGCAAGGGGATAAAAAAATTTTGGTCTCTGGTAGATAGCTGTTAAATTAGAAATCGCACCACTTCTTCATATTTTTATATTCATATAGTTTTCCTAATTTGTGATCTGTAATCTTTGCTATTTTACTTTATATGTAATGAATAAAAGGAGATGTTGGGTATATGCAAATGGAACAGAAACTCGACGACAAGGAAAAACCAAAAACATCCAATGGTCTAAATATCTTTGAATCATATTGCTATTAAAGAATATTTTGAAGTTCATCAAACAGTTATGAAATTACAGAAATAATAAGACGGCAAGAGTTATGACTTGTATGAACATATGACTCTTTCGCTATGTTCTTATTCACGTTTTATACATAAATATACCAACCCATTTCAGCAGCTAGCAGTAATACTGTCTTGCCGTCTTCATCTTGTATAGTGGCTGTTTCTGCTGTCAGTAAAGTCTGAAATAAAACATGTTTAAGTCAGCAAATTGGTAGTGAAGTAAAACATGAAAGTTAGTAACAGGTACAATGTATATGGAAAAATTAATATTACCAGTAAGATTATTGCCTATTTATTTCATAATTTTTGTCATCACATGAAAAGAGGAAAAATTTCCACAATTAATTGATATTTGATTTACAGTACTTCCACAATCAAAGTCAGATAGTAAATTTCAGTAAGGTGAATACTCTTTTCATTTGCCATTTGGCCGATGCTAACCTTACTATTGCATGTATTGGGTTCCTTTCAGATAAACTTTGGCAAAACAATTCACATAAGCAAAAAGGATAATCAATTATGCACATAACTTGTATACATGTAATAACAAATGTTTCTTTTTGTAGATACTGCACAATTTGTGTCTGGCAAAGTGCACTTTCAATTTCTGTGAAAATATACTGTAAAACTAAAAATTTGCATGGTTTTAAATTTCTTTCTTGCAGGGAAAGGTATTATCCATGAAAGTGAACCCCCCTCACCCACCGAAAAAAAATTTTGGGTTTAATCCACAGATGTAGTGTTATCGACAAATAGCATAGCATACAGCTCAACCAGTGGCCATCTTGAATTTTTCTGTGTTGAAGGACTCACTGTGACTTTAAAATGAAGAGCAGCAATAAAAACACTGTTCCTTTGCTATTACTAATGTACAAATTTTGAGCCATGAACTAATCTTCCCTTTCCATTGCATGGAGAGGGAATATACCTTTCTTTAACTCTTAACCATAAAGATTAGTTCCAATTAATTCTCTTTTAGAGACATAAACACAAAATCGAAAATTATTTTTCTATAGTATTGAATACTATTTAGTGTTGTAACAGACCTGTAAACATTCAAGAGGTTCTGTCCTTCTAATAGACCAATGCATCCATGTCCTTCCACCATTATCTCGTTCAATCCCATCATGCTCTTCTGGACGGAAGGATCTTGCTGAGGTCAATAGTTCAAAATGTTTAATATGATCAAGACGACACGCCCACATACATGGTGTCAATCCATCTTTGTCTCGTACATTGACATCAGCCTGGTTTGCTATCAAATACTGAAAACATAAGAGACAAATGTTATTAAAATAAAATAATTAAATTAACAATTTGCTACAAAATTCATGTTTTAGACATTCTATGTAATAAGCTATTTCATATTTCTTCTAATTAGTCATTACCTGAGATATTACAAACTTCCTTTTCGTAGTATATACACTATTAAATCAATACTGAAAACTGACACATACAAAACAAAACAGTGTGACAGTCTTCTGGTAAAATACTGTTTTTTTTCCAAGTTATTTTTGTTATTTGGAGCACTGGGAAGAAGCTTAAGGTAGATGATCTTCAATAGTTTCTGTTTAATCATTTAAATATTTGTTTGCACTTTAGACGATTTAGAGCTTGATAATTTGTACAGAAATATATATTTTGTTCAGGACTGTATGATGCCCAAAAGATGTCCTTGATTATTTGTATTGCTAGTTTGCTGTCAAATTGATATGCATTGTCCCCACATCTCCTTTTATTCATATTAACTAATAAACTTTGGCTATACAACAGTCAAATTTATGTAAATCATCACAAACTAAAGGTCTTACAGAACTTTAATTCTAAAAATTAGAAGTTAATGTAATGTGATCATAAAGAATAGAATATTAAAAGAAATTTTACACCATTCATCAAATTTGCACATAAACAGGGTCTGTTGGATTATTATATTAAAGCTGTTGTTATTTTCAATTCTATGGCTAAAATGTAAAATTGAATTTAATTTCTGTAGCACTGATTAATTTTTAACATACAAAATACTGCCAGGTATATTTCCATTGTAACAATATCAAATATATTCAGCCTTTTGACATGGATAAATAAACTTTAATTTAATTATGAATTTATTAATCTACACTTGTAATAGTATTTACTTGGGCTTAAATACTATCAACTAGTGACCTGCACTTATCTAAGTTATACCTTCAGTCCACTATAAATCATGTTTATCAAATTTATAACCTTGTTTATTATGTTAAATTTCAGCACAAAGCTTTTAACTTCCTTCTTACTTTTAAAGTTTCAATAATAAAGGATTAAAACTGAATAAAGACATTTTAAATTATACAATAAATGTCTGGCATCTTATTACCGTAAATCCTTTCACTGTTAACTTCAATGTGTTACTAATAACAATAAAAAAATCTCCTTTTCAATGATTTTTAAATTGATTTTCACACCATCAGTTTCTAATTAGCCAACCAATAACAACAATGTCAGTGGCATACATTTGTATTCTTCATAGCAATACAAAGGATTACTTTTATGTCTTTTTAACATGTTTAAATAAAGACAATTGCATTAATTTCAAAGGTAATAAATATTTCTTAGATCTCAATTATTTATATTTCAAAAATTTAATTATCAGTTTTTTATATTTCACAGTTTGGTAATCAGGTGTATTATATTCTATTACAATGCACATTTCGTGTACACATATAAATGAATTAAATTTAAGGACCTTAATTACAATAGAGAAGTACCTGCTAATTTCATTACACTACAAACAAGATAAAAAAAGAAAATAAATTGAGAAAAAACCCTCATGCAAATTATAAAGATAACTGAATAAAAGGTGACCAAAATGTTTGCCTAGAACCATGTCTGCAATGAGTGACACTATCATTCCTCTATGTCTATGATGTTAAATGGACCTAGGCCATACCATACAATTGTTGGTATAACAATTTTTTACACAAGTCTTATAGTATACATGTACATGAAACTATAAAATTGACAAAATTTTGTTATTTGTCTGACAATTTTCCAGGTCAACATCTATGTAGTATACTTTATAAATAGAAATACTTATTTACTTAAATAATGAAATTTTCTCTCCATCGTCTGTTAAACAATTACATATTATCATTTAATGAAGATATCCAGGATCATTGTCCGATAATATCCATAATCAAACAAATGTCTTATTGTAAGACATGGTCATTGACATTGTTAAACAGTCTGACACAAATTGTACCATTTAAATACCATAATCATAAGACCATATCTATCCCAAGATTTAAATAATTTACAGTACACCTGCGCTAATTCAAATTTTGTAGCCAGCAAAATACATTTTGGCTTGATATTCATAATTCATTTGAGATGAACATAATGTTTTATAAACTTTGATAAGATTCCAAACTATTAACATATACATGAATTTGTTTTGAAAAGTTTACTTTTACCTATTGAGCTAATAAAACTTCTGATTGAAAGTACCAAAACAATATATATCTGGCATTTTTCCAAAGGTAAGCAGATTGAAATTTTACTTTTATCTTTTTAAATGTCATTGAACATTGGACAAAATCAACATAACAATCCTCAAACTTTCAAGTTATACCCTTCAGATTCCTTACACAGAAAATCATACCTTTTATGAACATTCAACATCTTTTCATATGTATTTACATCACATTACGTGTATTTAACGGCTTACTTTACATGCATTTTACAAGTGATTTAAATCTTCAGGCAATTGAATAAATACCAGTTTTCAAGTAGAGTTTTCAATACTTGAGAAGAAATACATATTTGTTTATTTGTTAAGGAAAGTATTTCCGTTTATGATAAAAATCATTTTTTCCCATACAATAGCTACTTGACAAGTACCACTTTACATGTTCACTTCAATTTTGTACATCATAACATGTATATCATTATTGTAAATTTTAAAATGGATTTTACTTTAAATTGAAAAAGTGAATATATTCAAGCAATTGTCATGATTGTTAAGATGGCAATTTTCATAAAAATGATTTAATTTCTATGCCTACATGTATGAAATATTTCTACATTTGACCTTTTATTTCAATGTTACTGTAACAATTGACACCTAAATTGATGTTAATTCTGTGGTAAACCCTGTCACTATTTCTAATTTCTGACAAAGCAAGGTTTTCATTTTTTTTAAATTCAAATACATGTCAAAGACATAGATTGACTGATTATTGTTTGCTTAACGTCCAGTGGACAAAGACATAGAATACGAAGTAAGATTGATAAAAAATTGTTTTGGATTAAACCACATAAACAAAATTGCTTCATAGATTGATTTCAGTTTGCTATAATTGTCCAATGGCAAATATTTTATGAAACTCAGGACAAGATCACATTTAATAATACATCAATAAGGTTCTACAAAGTGTGTGTACCAGGAGTATGGCATTTAAATGTGGTTTGTCACTGGGCAATGAGAGTATGTTTGGTAGGGGCAAAAATGATGCCTTGCAATAGAACATGTAAAGACCAGCTAAGAGTTTTGGCTGTTTATTTGCTGTATCAAAATCATTCAAATGGATGTCTCCACAGCATGGGTCTTACTGCTGCATGGAAGAACTCCAGATGATCACATTTCCAAGTTAATCCTTACGCATGCTAAGTATAAATATTCAAAACAGTTAAAAATTGCATGATAAAAAAAGGAATGATAGAAATTGATTATAAATTTAACTTCCTACTAAGTCTTATTTCATATGACATTCTGGAAGCCACCTACTCTTAAGATAACTATGTGCACTTTGTATGTCTACACTAAAATTTAAGGGCAATTAAGTTCATAAACAGGTTAATTTGGGTTCAAAATGGTTAACATATTTCTCATTCAGCAAAAATTCATTTATGAACATTTGTTTGTTAGTTTCGATACACAACAACATCAACAGCACTATGTTTTGTCAGATTTGATGAGCTACCTTCATACATGTTCTCAATGGTAATTGGTGTAAATGGCAGTGTGACAACTAAGTACCCTAATACTCATACAGAATATCATGAACCCCTATATAAAACAGGAACAGTAATCCTCAAAGACAAACTTTCAAGAGTCAAATCTATAAAAAAAAATATTTTAATCTTTCAAAAAATACCAATTAAATAAATTTTATACTTTTTGCTATCAGTACTCTAGATCTTAAACAAATGTGTATAAGTGTACAACAATGTATTTTAATTTCATGACACAAAAATTAAAACTGAACTATGGTCTTTCAAAATCAATGAACATTGTACTGATTAAGAAAAAATGTCCAACTTATCTCATATAATTTCACAACTTCAGGTTAACTCTGAAGAGAGATCGAGGTGCAGGATATCTAAGGGTGGTGCTAAAAAAATCAAGGGTGGAGGAGCACACCCCTTAGTTAGCATGTGGTGATCCCTGAAGATATAAATCATTCTTATAAACAATAAGGAGTACAAGTACCACAACTCAGTCAGGATATCAGGACTCACTAAACAAACACACCATCCATTCCTAAACAAACACACCATCCATTCCTAAACAAACACACCATCCATTCCTAAACAAACACACCATCCATTCCTAAACAAACAGAACATCAGGATATGTAATATTCCCAAAACACAGGACATAATTGGCCCTTAAACAAATAGGATATGACAAACCCCTCCAACAAACAAGACATCTGGAACTTCTGAACAAATAGTATATAATGTTGGATATCAGTTAATGTTAATTTAGTGGGTACAGGTGAATCAAAAAGTTCAACAAAGGACAATTTTCTAAAGGCTTGTATGCTGATTTTTGTTTAACCATAAAAGCAAATATTAACTAATAGACTATTTTTCCTTAATCTAGGAAAAAAAATAAATCCACAGTATCAACAACAACCTTTCTACATTTTAGATACTAGTGTCTTTGTTTGGCTGCTTTGAAATTGATGAGGATATTTTAGCAATCACAGCACATTGGATTAGGAATACATGCTTCCTGATCATATAAAAAATACTAAAATCCCTTCATTCAAATTCAATATTTTCACATCCAGTATCTATTGTAGATTACTTTCCACACCTAATTGTGTAAATGAAAAAAAAAAACAATAAGATGTTACAGCAACTTTCCCAAACCACACGACAAACATTGATTACATTCAAGAAGTGATTGACTGTTGCTTAATTTCACACAAACAAACAAAAAATGTTATAAATAATCCCTATTATCAGTAATTGTGTTATCCTTGTCTCAGACTTGAACAAATCTAGTATCATACTTTACCTTAAGACATTCTGTTGTCTTTGTAGTAACTGCCCAATGTATGGGCGCTCTCCCTTGTGTATCTTGGATAGTAAAATCTCCCCCACATTGAAGTAATAAACTTAGTCCTACATGATTCCCATCATGGCAAGCTTGGTGTAAGGCAGTTGATCCATCTGAAATAACATTTAATGTACAATGTAATATTGCATATATGTTACGTAACATGCAAAACCGGTTTGATTTATAACTTTCACATAAAAATGATTCATCTACATGCCACACATAGATTTGATGGACACAGAAATACACAAAGATATTCCATTTAAATAAAATTCCTCCTCAATGGTAAATCGTCAAAAGAATGCACTAACAGAGAGCGGGTGAAAAGAAAATAGAATTTGTGAATAATATTCAGCTATATGTAGCTATGCAATGAAAGCAATACAAGCACAGACAGTAGATTCAATACATTCAGTAAATTTGTAAAGCACAAGAGTGTCTTTCGATATATTGTGCAGCTCAATTTCATATCCTATCAAGAAAACTGAAAATGTTTCTATACGATTTCTGATGATTTTGCTTTGCATGGCTTAGTAATTAAAAGCCTTCATCATATCATGGAGTGTTAGAGTTCTCCATTGATTCTGATGAGCCATTAGTGCATTATCTCAATTACAGATGAGTCATAAGTGGGTTATCTCAATTACTGATGAGCCATTAGTGTGTTATCTCAATTACTGATGAGCCATTAGTGCATTATCTCAATTACTGATGAGCCATTAGTACATTATCTATCTCAATTACTGATGAGCCATTAGTGCATTATCTCAATTACTGATGAGTCATTAGTGCATTATCTCAATTACTGATGACCCATTTAGTACATTATCTCAATTACTGACGCACCATTAGTGTGTTATTTCAATTACTGATGAGCCATTAGTGCATTATCTCAATTACTGATGAGCCATTAGTGTCTTATCTCAATTACTGATGAGCCATTAGTACATTATCTCAATTACTGATGAGCCATTAGTGCATTATCTCAATTACTAATGAGCCATTAGTGAGTTATCTCAATTACTGATGAGCCATTAGTACATTATCTTCATTATTGATGAGCCATTGGTGCATTATCCAATTACTGATGAGATAAAGCTCATTATTGCAATAACTGTTAGCAAGTGAAATGGTATATCCACTCAGAAAGTCATATGTTTAAGACATGTATGCATGTTCATGCCCTTACAAAAAGTTTTGAGTGTATTATGTTAATTTAGGATAGTCCTTCTTATGGTGGTTTAAGTAGAGTTGCAGGTATTAGGCACTTGTATTACTCAGACAGTAAATGATAATAATCACTGGTAGGCTGTTAGTTTTTTACATGCATATAGAACTCACATGTACTTGAAGGAAACACACTACTACATTTACTTGACCAATATACAATGTATATATATGAATGAAGTGGGATTATCTTGAATATATAATTCATGTCAGAATACTTAAAAGCATTTTGACTATCACTTCGTGATGTCTACAAGTGAAAGCATGGTTGTTCATATCTGTTCTATCACAAGTTTATTATTCTTATACTACATTTGTATATAATAGTATAAAGATAATTACTTGTGAGAAGTGAGTGAGTATCTATAGTATTACATGATTACAATCATTAAACTTTAAATGGCAAAAGCAAAATAAATAATGAAATTTTCAAATTTCAAAAATCATTTTCATATAAATATTTGTCATTCAGTTCAATCATTATGAGCATTTTCTTTTTAAATCAGTGATGGATCATTTATACATGTACAGAAATATATGAGTGCAGTACAGTGAAGGAAAATATAAAATTTATCTATACAAGCTTTAGAAACAGCGAGGCAGTCTGTTTCCTAACAAGTACAAATAAATTCTATTTTTCCTACACCATTCGTACATGGTATGAATATTGTTTTTATTCTACAATTTAACATTGAGCTTATTAAATGTATAGTTATTTTAATTCCCGACCTTTTAATTCGTTTTTGAATAAAATCAACAAGACTTACACATGTACCTTGATGAGGACCCCAAATTAAACTGTGACTTAAAGAGTAATTTGAACATAACGGTTTGCTAGCAAAATAGAAGCAGGATACCAGGAGACTTTAAACATATATAATATACCTTTAACGCCTGGAATTATCTGTAATTTTGAATTGTAGTAAGGACGATTGTGGGATAAATACATAATGTACATGTTATATGAAGTTCTCAAATCACTTTGTTTCACACATGAATAAAGATAAAATGGATAATCTCAACTGTTCAACAATTAAAATAACATACATGTATATATGCTCCTCTAAATTTTACGAGAATTTCAAATGTGAGATTAATGTACCTCAGATTATTGACATATCATGTACAGAACATTTAAGAACAATTTTAAGCCTATCTGTAAATAACTATCTATAATAAGCAATGTAAAATTATCACTTTCATGTACAAAGCTGCAAAATAACCTCTGTATAAAAAGGTCCCCTGCTCAGAAAGAGTTCATATTTTGCTTCCCTTTAGTGTCCTTAATAATATACAGGTTTTGAGTGCAAATTTATTATTATGATGTACATACAACAAAATTCTAAAACTATTTCAGTAAATATAATTGTCACATGGTTGTAATTGTTTTGTTTTACTTACCATGTGCTGAAGAATTTACTTCACAGCTATTTTCCAGTAAATGATGTAAAATTTCCATGTGTTTAAAATGTATTGCATAATACAAAGGTGTACGTCCAGTGCCATCTCTTTCCTCAACGTGTGATGGATCTGAAATTAGATATTTTAAAAATTATAATTATAAACCCACTCTATTATCATGATTATAAGAAGAATATTTGCATCTGTGCAGGTTAAAAATTGGAGGCAGAGGAGTTATCTCCCATAGTCATTCAGGTTTTTTTTAACTTACATACATCATGTATATGATGTACATTTACATCTTTTAGTACCAGTCATATTTTCTTCTTTTCCTGAATTTTTCTTGACTAATCTGCTCTAATACATGTTGTGTTTCTAATTACCTGTCTTCAATAGTTGGCTTTACTATTATTCATAAAAGCATAATTTCATGGACAATCTTATTTGTCCGTTATTTTCAAACTGCTGCTATATATACAAGCTTCCGGGGAAACAATCTGTGAAGGCCTTGAACAGTTACATGTACTTAAAATTTGTGCCCAGTAGATTTCTATGGTCAGAAAAGGAGAATGGTTTTGCTTTTTATATAACAAAATGTATAATGGAAGAGTCCATAGACCATGTGGATAAATTTAGATTTAATGAACTGAGTCTTTGGTCAGTGGGAGACAGTTGTCTCATTGACAATGATACCATATCTCCTTACATTTATACTAATCATCATCTCTATAACTTTACTACAAGAGCAGAAAATGATTTATTTCATTTATCATTACATGATCATATTAAAAATAATGAAGACGATAAGTCCTTGGACTCATCTGAAAATTTGGTCAATCAGAATCTGTAGTGTACACATTCTAGGAACTGAATATTTACCATCATCTATTAATTCTTTTACTGTGTGATAATCTCCTCGTTTTGTAGCATCTATCAAGGGAGGTAACACAGTTATGTTCATACTTTCGTCTGTCCGTACACCAGTAATATTTTTTATACTGTCCAAGTTTAGCCATTTCCATTGAAATTTGTCTGGTGCGTCCACAAAAGGTGTCATAGGACTTAGTCCTCTTGCAGTTAATGATAAAGTTGTTACATTTTTGTCTTGTGATCGATGCTGCAGCTGGCGATAGTATTTCTGTAACTGTAGCAGTGCTAAATTTAGAACATCCCTGAGTTCTGCACATTCTGATTCCTCATTCAGCTTCAAAAGAAATTCATGTAAGAAGGCAGCAGCCTTCTGAAAATCTAAAAAAAAAAAAGAATAATTTTAGTAACTAGCTGTTCCACAAGATAGTAAATTACAACAGTCAACATAAACTACTGGTTAAAAGACTTTTACCTAAAGAAAATTGCACGTTGAGGCACCATAAACATAAGAAGATGTGGTATGTTGACGTCTTTTTTCCATTTAACCTCCTATTTCTCTTTTTTTCATATTTTTAAAATTTTTTGTTTCATTCTTTTCAGCTTTCCACTTCTTCTGGTATTTCAACAAAAAACTTCCCCAGAGATAGCTGCTGTGCTACCTAAATCACAGGGCTCAGGATTGTTTTTTAGAATGTAATTTGCTCTCTCTATAATGAAAACACAGTGAATAAAGCCAGAGTATATGTTGTAAGAGTGTGACAGGATTGCTTATCTTGCATTGTCAGTAAGCGGTTTAGCTAGGAAAGTGTTTCTTTAGCTCAGTTAGTAAGAGTGCCGATTTTTAACACAGAGGTCTTGGGTTTGATCCCCGGAGTAGACAATGTGGTTTTGTATTAAGAATCATGCTCTCCAGTTAGAGTTTCAGGGATTTTCAATTTGAAATCTCCTTAATCAATGTTAATATCAATGAGTTTTAAAGCCTTGAAGGCTTGAAAAAAAGTAAGGTAAAAGATGATTTGACAATGCATATATGAATTTAACCCTGGTATTTATTTATGAGTTTTCTCTTCCTCAACTTTGAGCCTATTTATTTAAGCTTGTTAAGGAAAGGGTTTCTGTGGGTAAAAATATACAAGAGCCAAATTCAAGTACCAATCCCAGGTTAGGCACAGAGGTCTGGAAAAATGGTTAGATATTCTATCTAACTACCATGAGTTTTTTAGTTGGGCACCAAATGTAACCATTTACAGCTGATTTAGTATCATGGGAAGCAATCCAATCACAAAAACAAAATAAAAATTAAATAAAAAACAAATAAATCTTTCAGTAAAGACTGGTCAGCCTGTATCATGTGTATACATATATGTGAAATTCTTACAATATTTAAAATTCAGCAGTGAACTTAAACAAAAAAGATGAGACATATAAAAATATAATGAATAAATTATGCTGTATTTACATTATTTGTCATGGGTTTATATGTTATACACTTGGAATAAAGTATTTATATTATTTTCTAAATGGATTTTTAATATCTTGCATAAAACAAACTGAAAAAAAAAAAATTAATATCCAAAATGGGAGATTAATATCTGTCATAGTTAAAACAATAAGTTTAGTTTTGAAATATAAAACTTAGTAATCAGATAATGATTAATTTTTAAATTTAAGAAGATTGTTAATTGCTTATTATCATTTCTTTGATGAATATAAGTATTAATTATGCTTTTGTCAAGAAATTGTGGGTCTCACTAATTAGCGTCAAGAAGCGACAAGAAGACTATTTAGCGACAAGAAAACTTTAAAAAAAATCTTTTTCCAAATAAATATATTAAAAAAATATGCATTGACATTTTTTTTTAATATATGGGCAGTTATAAAGTGATTTTCATTTTTTTGTTGTTATATTGATAGATGAAGAAATTAAACATTTGTCATGAAAGAAGAAAGGGATTGTCTATTTTCTATTAAATATAACGAAGAGCAGCAAAGTCAGAGTATGAATAAATGAATGAAGATAAATATAGAGTCGGCATAAATATAGAGGAGGACCTCATGCAGGTGGTTCTACCTTGAGTTCTATAGTGATACACATGTCTCTTGTTTTATTGCTACAATACCATCCAACTAACACCTTTAACTGTGTACATTTGTCAGACTATACAATTACACGCGCCAGAATATACAAACATTGTAAATAGTGAACACTACCTCTTGAAAACTCAACATTGTCTTCAATTACCTTTGACAGGGAAAACGTAATATTTGCTGTAGCAATTAGATCTATGTTTCAAAAATGTGTGATGCTTTATATTACTATTAAAAAATAACTTTTTCTATACATTTATATTTATTGATAGAATATTAACTTTCTTGTCGCTAAATTTGTTTTCTTGTCACTAAATAGTCTTCTTGTCGCTTCTTGACGCTAAATTATTCTTCTTGTCGCTAATTAGCATGATTAGTGAGACCGGAAATTGTGAAGGAAATACAAAACGAGATCACTATTAAAACAACAGCACCAAACTGAGTTCCAGTAGTTCTTTGGTAGCTAGGGGACTAAAAATACTTAAAGTATGGACGATACGTCTTTAAAAGGTATGGAAGATACGTCGTAAGGACGATGTGGCGGTATGGCAGACACATCCTATGTATGACATGGAAGTGTGGCCATCGCGTCTCGAAAGTGTATATTCAGGGGAAAAATGCATGAGGTAGAAAGACACAGTAGCCTGATGAATATAATACAATAATGCTAATAAAACCAAATGTTGAAATTACAACTCTTTACACCTGTTTTAAAAAGCGAAATAAAAATGAATGAAAAAACAAACAACAAAAAATGTGATATTGGTTTATCTGAAAAGTGATGAAGAACAAGGCTGAACATGCTGTTGTGAGGCACAGAATTGGGTCAAGATTATAATTTGATAACCTCATTTTCTACATATGACTGGCTTTGTTTAACAGTTTGATGGTTAGAAAAAACTCTTGTTAAACATATTTATCACATGTTTCTACTACCTGGTATGAAATTTATCACTTTGTTCATTCAATCATGTTGTTCACAGTTTATTTACTGTTGTTATTTTGTCAACAACTAATACAATAATAGGTACGGTGCAAAACTAACCTTTTCGTTTTATAGTCATGATCCCAGTATAGCAAAATGAGCTGTATGAAAGTACGATTTAAATTGCGAAGGACTAGGGGAATTCCGCAAATCCATTTGTATACAAGTTATCTTCAAAACATGTTCACCCCATTGCTGGTGCCCTTCGCCGCCATTAGTTTACAAATCCCATCATGCAACAGGTCTGTATCCAAACAGAATAAATTTCTCTGATTTTCAATAAAATTATTAAATATATGTAATTCTCATTCAAAATTTTCATTAAGTTTAATAAACTCTAGCCCGTGTACGATGGAACCTTTATCTTTTCTAGAATTTTGTTGTTGATAGAAAATATAGTCCCTAATATTTAATGTAGTTAAGAGCCGATTAACTACCCAGTGCGTGATAATTTCTTACGCATCTTGACGACCGCCATTTTAATACTTCTGAAATATTGGAGGGGGATCAAACAAAATCCGTAATCATCCGGCTGTTGGGGTCATCTAAATTTTTGAAAACATCGTAGACCTCAGGACAAGTCTTCTTTGTAATGGCAGACACTGATAAATTAAATATAGATAGCATTATAGCAAGATTATTAGAAGGTAAGGATTAGCTTCCGTCCAAAAACGATATATTTACGATTCTCTGTCGACTTACAGGGGATGATCGCCGGTAAGTTCAGATTAACGTGACAATTTTCAAGTCATGAACATTGTATTTGAAAATTGTGACATCTGAACTGTTGAAATGAAAAATAAAACCCGTTATTGAGACTCGAAATCCTACTATAGTGTCAGTCTAAGGATCCTTGCAAATAGCTGCACCTGTTGACACCTGCATAAACCCCTTTCATAAAACCGATAGTTTTCATTGTGTTGCAAGTCTTCATTTGTAATTATCGAAAGACACAATTGTAAAGCCTAATAAGTTTGGATAGGTACTCAATAATGTGTATTCTACTCAAAATCAGATATAAAAAATAAAGCCAGAATTGGTACCTTCGACGTAACGAAAAAAAGAATTTTGTGTTTCATGATGACAGTAGCATGTTGGTTGCGCCCCTGTTGCTATTTGCTCTCGGTGTTTTCGATATATATCACTACTGGGGAAGTAAATCGATTGTTTAAAGTCCGCCACCCCTAACTTTGATCAATCTAGATATCTCTGTCTACATGCATTCCAGCCATGGAACCTAGTGGTTCTTTCTGAGTACTTTGGCTTCCTCCAGACTTACCTGCATTGTCGTGGTGGTGGGTTGTAAATAAGTTGCTCTTTTAATTGACACATCAATTGAGGTTCCGAAGTGTCCTAAATTAAACTTTTGTTTGATTTCATCAAAAATTGAATTCTTGGGGTTCTTTGAAGTGCTGATTCTAACAATGTACTTATATTTTGGATATTGGACCATAATAGGTAAATGTCCAATTTCAAATTTTTCAGTTCTTTGACCACATTCATTTTGTGTCGCAAACCTATGCTGTGTCAAATATTCAATCACAATCCAAATTCAGAGCTGTTTTGAGCTTAAATGTAGTGTCCATACTTACTCAACTGTTCAGGGTTCGACCTCTGCAGGAAATCCGGTTTGCTGTCACTCTGACAGCCTCTTGTTAGTTCCTATTATCCAATATTAAAAAAATATGGAATCATACTTTGCAAGAATCCTTCAAAAATTTGTTTACCGAATTTCCAAGTTTTAGCATTGCACCATGTTTTAGCTCAAATAATTGTACAGGAGCTACGATTGCTGGTTCAGATAGGCATTCATTTGCTGTGAAAAAAACCCAAGATTTACTGATAATTAAGTACATGTAACTTGTGCATTCATGTTTAAGGAGAGTCGATAGTTATTTTAAAAATCAATCATGGCAACTATTTAACTGCAATATTTAAATGTAGTGCACCATTTTTTTGAATTATCTATGTCTTTATTGCTGTTAACACAACTTTATTGGTCATTTATAGTGAGAGGATCAAGACCGGGGAAAAATGTACAGCTGACAGAATCAGAAATAAGAGGACTTTGTCTCAAGTCGAGAGAAATATTTCTAAGTCAACCAATCCTTTTAGAACTAGAAGCTCCCTTGAAGATATGTGGTGAGTTGAAAAAGCAAGGGTATCATTATGAATATTAATAAAAAACCATAAACTGGAGGCCTGGCTTATAAACATGAAAAATGTCCATATTTAGTTGATTTATAGTTGCAAAGTCGGAATGCTCCATGTTCAAAGAGTTTGCTTACAATTGCATTATAATTTATTGTTGGTTCTTGTTTAATATAAACATATAGGTTTGTGCATTATAAATTTGAATATATTTGTATCCTTATTCATCATGTTTAATTATTTTTTTCATAACAGTTTGATTTTGCTAGAAGAAAATATTCACAAACACAGGAACTATAAGTATATTGAGCAGAATCTATTAAGATTGAACCATTATACAAATCTTTTGTTGCAATTTCAAGAATTGTTCACTTAGTTTTTCAGCTGCAATATCAACCAAAAGTCAAACTACAACAAGATATATCCTAAAGTTTTGACAGGAACCATAAACTGCTTAATCGAATGTCAAAAATTACTTAAAAACTTTTAAAAAAAATCAATAAGTGAACCTCTTATTACATGGTCTACTTTATAGGAAAGGGCAAGTCCATCATTCAGAGCAGTTTTCATGTTCTGTAGAAAGAAAAAAATCATAACCGCCTTCTTACCATCTTTTGTATTAGTCCAGTGAAAGCCTTTGAACTTTTTTTTTTAAAACAACCAACGAGATCAACTGCAGGAAGCAAATCTAGTGGAAAAGGAAAATCATTCAAAAAAGACACAGCTGAAACATCCCAGAAATATACAAAAAATTCGTAAGGGTTCCGCGGAACCCAGTGTCTCGCCTACTTTTGGTGTTAATCGCAGGCTCAACAAAAATGAGGAAAAAAATTAATAAAAATATTCCCCTCTATACTATGTTTTGATTGTAAGTAGCTTCTGTCCAAGTTTGGTAAAAATTCAGGATAATTTATGAATCTAATAAATGTTTTAAAAACTTAAACTGCAGAATGTATGTAATGTTGACTGGAAGAAAAACTAAGTCCATTTATAAGTAAAATACAGAAAAAATGGAACAAAATTTTATCAAAATTTCCTTCTAGATACTAGCTTTTGATCATAAACAAGCTTCTGTCCAAGTGTGGTACAAATCCAGGATAGTTTAAGAAAGTTGTTAAAATTTTAAAAACTTTAACCACAGAGTGAATGTAATGTTAACTGGCAGAAAAACTAAGTCCATTTATAAGTAAAATACGGAAAAATGGAATTTTTTTTTTACAAAATTTACTTCTGGATACTATCTTATGATCATAAACAAGCTTCTTTCCAAGTTTGGTATAAATCCAGGATAGTTTAAGAAAGTTATTAAAATTTCAAAAACTTTAACCACAGAGTGAATGTAATGTTTCCTGGCAGAAAAACTTAAGTCCATTTATAAGTAAAATACGGAAAAATGGATTTTTTTTTTTACAAAATTTACTTCTGGATACTATCTTATGATCATAAACAAGCTTCTTTCCAAGTTTGGTAGAAATCTAGGATAGTTTAAGAAAGTTATTGAAATTTTAAAAACTTTAACCACAGAGTGAATGTAATGTTAACTGGCAGAAAAACTAAGTCCACTTACAAGTAAAATACGGAAAAAATGGAATTTTTTTTTTTACCAAATTTACTTTTGAATATAATCTTATGATCATAAACAAGCTTCTGTCCAAGTTTGGTAGAAATCCAGGATAGTTTAAGAAAGTTATTAAAATTTCAAAAACTTTAACCACAGAGTGAATATTTGTGGACGCCGCCGCCGACGACGCCGATGGAATGTAGGATCGCTATGTCTCGCTTTTTCGACAAAAGTCGAAGGCTCGACAATAAAATCCAGTAGATAAATCTGCTTAAGCAATTTAATAACTCATGCCAGTTGACATATTAAATAATAATATACTTATATAAGTAAATTTGTTATATTCATATTTTCTTATAAGGTTTGAATAATCTCCCCTTAATTTTCTCAAAAAAATTACTTCTATTAGTTTGTTTTTTTAACAATTCCTAAAATTCTTAAGTTTTGGGATGTAAAAACATGCCTTAAACAATTTTTCTCTGGTTAGCTCATAATTTTTTATAAGAGTTCAACATTTCATCTCATTAATTCAACAAAGAAACTAATTGCGCAAAGACCTTGGAGGCTTGTAAATGAGCAGTGTTTTGAAGATAACAGAAAAGTGAGATTGTCATTGTCCATGAAATTACACTTAAATGATAAGTAAAGACATCTGCAAAGGACAGACAATTAAAAATTCCATTAGAGCAAAGAAGTCCTGAGAAATTCAAGAAAAGAAGATAATATGGCTTTTTTACTTGTATAAATAAAAAAATCTGAAAGTCTAGAGGACATAACTAAGCCATTAAAATGATTTACCTCTACAAGTGATTAAAATACACTTGTATAAGTATCTTACAAATTTATAAATTTACTTATATAAGTATCTTACAACTTTAAAAATTTATTTATATAAGTATATTAATATTTACTTCTTCAAGTAAATAAAAATAACTTGTGTAGTACCCCTGACTGCTTAATGTCCCAGCTCAGATCATTTTTACAAAACCACTAATAGAAATTTAAGGAAAATAAAGTGAACAGTAAAATCACATTAAAAACAAAAAGCATAGTTGTTGTCAGATGTATTTTTCTGAGCTTTATTTTAATGTAACTGTGCATATACACTGCATATTAGGAAGAGATGATCAATTGGTTTTGATGTTTCTAGATATTTTGCATGTGTTCAGTTTTATGTATTATAAGATTTGTTCAAATTCTGATTTTTCTTGTATTTTATTGCAGGCCATATTGTTACATATTTTACATTTCTTTATGTAGTTAAATTTCTTGTTTCAGGTGATATACATGGACAGTATTACGATTTACTACGATTGTTTGAATATGGCGGGTTCCCACCAGAGAGTAACTATCTCTTCCTGGGGGATTACGTAGACAGAGGAAAACAGTCTCTGGAAACTATATGTCTCCTACTGGCATATAAAATCAAATACCCTGAAAATTTCTTCTTACTCAGAGGCAATCATGAATGTGCTAGTATAAACAGAATTTATGGATTTTATGATGAATGTAAGTGAAAGGATGGTTTTAATTTAGATTTAAAATTGATTTTGTATTGAAATTGAACTAGAAATAAATGATGAGATGTATGCTCCTTTAAACAGCATACATCTCGACACCAAACAAATAAAATTTAAATAACATGTACACAAAGAAGAATATTGTTTTCTCTGAGAAATGTCACAATTTGTTTTAGACATTAAGGCATGCATAATATAGTATTTACTTCATAGTGACAAAAAATAATGTCTTAATAACTGTTGATGCTCTGGAACTAAACATTCTACTTAACTAGAGCCAGTAAAATCACTGAAAATAGAAAACTTAAAAAATGTTAACGGACAAGACAGGATACTCATAATTTGCTGAAATCTACAGCAAAATTTTAGCAGCATTTAAAAATGTACTTGCACAAATTTTGTCAAAAGTATTGTATTAGAAAAGGATTATGTTAACAGAAAGATAGTTAAAGGACACACTGGAAGCAGTTTTTATATGACCGCAAAAGGGCGTATATTGGTATGATGTTGGCCTCGGTGTCGTCCGAAGACACATTGGTTTTCGCACTCTAACTTTATTACTATTGTAAAGATTTGTCTTAAAAATATTTTATCTAAAAAAAAAAATCTTTTGGAAATATGGATATTTTGATTTGTTCAAAATAGATCCTCTTGTAATGATATAACTTATGTTAATTTCAGGTAAACGAAGATACAATATAAAGTTGTGGAAAACATTCACAGACTGTTTCAATTGTTTACCTATAGCTGCAATTATTGATGAGAAAATCTTCTGTTGTCATGGAGGTATGAATATTTCATTGTATTTGGGTGTCATTTTTGTTTTCAAAATAGAAAAAGTTTACATGGACAATGACAAGAAATTCCTAGTTTTAGTGTCATTGAATGTGTGTGGATTTAAAGCAAAGAATAGTTTCCATCTTATTAACAATAATATATTTCTTACAGTCATGTAAACTTCAACAACGAAACAATCATACAGAGATATGTGATGTTTTTTACTTGTTGGTGGAAATAAGGATTTACATTCTCTGCATAAATGTTGTTTTTAAAAATACCAAGACAGATGATTGTTTATTTTACAAGCAGTTAGAAGATTAACCGTATTGACTTGTGCTAGGAGATGGCAGAAATTTCAAGTCACCATTATCATTCAGTGTAGAGATCTGATGTTGAAACAAGCATATATGACATGAGATGTGTTGAGAACCTACTGGGGAGACTTGATGATATATCTGACATGAACTTGATTTGTAAGGAATCTTGTTCCGAAATATATAAATTACCTATTGCCTTTCAGTTGTGTAAAAACTGAATGTGGATTTAAGTGCAGAAAAATTTATTCAACAACAATATATATTTTGAGTGGCTACACAGTTAAGTTATTCAACTTAAATGCCTGATGCCCTTGTCATACACATAAAACTTGCTGGAAAACAAAAGGTCATACATGTACTTTTAGCAAGTGTCTTTAGTCTTAGACATTGTTAGACTGAGATGGGGAACAAGAATTAATTTCAGTTGTAAAAAAATTTTAAGAGTTGATTAACAAATGGTTGTAAAATGGGGATTTCTTATCTTGCAGCATATTGCATTAAAATCTGCATATGAACATGATGAAAGAAATATTTTCTATTCGAATTTCAAGCAAACAACAATCAGTTATGCTATAAATATTTAATTCATGAATGTACAATTGTGTTGATAAGTTGAGTATATCATTATGTGTTTGTTAAAGCTATTCCAAATAAAAAAATACAAAATACAAAAAAAAACGAAAAGCATTAAAACGTCCAAAAACCATAGAGAAGAAAATTTTTGTAATATGCAGTTTGATAATTCTTTTTGGTTTACTTGTAGGTCTGAGTCCAGATTTACAATCTATGGAGCAGATCAGAAGAATAATGAGGCCTACAGATGTACCAGATCAGGGATTATTGTGTGATTTATTATGGTCCGATCCAGACAAGGAAACAATGGGCTGGGGAGAAAATGATAGAGGTGTATCATTCACATTTGGTGCAGAAGTTGTTGCTAAGTTTTTACATAAACATGACCTTGATCTTATATGCAGGGCTCATCAGGTAAGTCACTAAGATATTTCATTAAATGTGGTGGGTTTTTTTTTTTCTCAACTCTTAACCGATTTTAAATGCTCATGTATTTATTTGATATGAAGTGTCAACTCATTTAGAATAGAAAATTATATTGATCAGCTGTTGGGACCATTCACTACTATATGCAATAATGTGATACTTTCAGAAATTATTTTCACTGCATTCAATATCCTGCATGTAAATGGATTTTGAGTGAGCTGCATTTGACTTGTTTTGGTACAAAGTTCTGTTGGTGTATGATTTGTAATTCATTTGCATCTCTCGTAGTTAATGGAATAAAATGTCATGTCTCTTGTTGTTAAAGTAAAAAATAATTTTATTCTCCCAACGAATGTTAAAATAGTGCATGAGGTAATACACTGACAAGAGTTAAAACATGTTAAAGGAGATGTTTTCAATTGTACATATATCATGTATATTTATTGTATACAACCAAAAATAATTATTTCATATAGTCTTATTACCATATCTTGCAAAGTTGTATGAAAGTACATATTTACTGACTATAGAAGTAATAATGTAGTATGAATGTCGATGAGACCATCAATTAACTTTAGGTTGCAGTTTGGATTTCTAACATTGTACAAAACCCTACGGTACAAGTTGATGTTCAGTACTGAAATTTAACAAATGGGAATAAACAGTAAATGTACACAGAATGTAGATAAATAAACATAACAAAAAACTGAAGCTCACGGCGTGGGTTTAAATCACATTCAATTTCCCTAAGTAATTTCATGTATAAACAAGGACAAGCTCTTAAAGCAAAACGTGTTTCATTATAAAAATATTTCAGAATTGAAATCATTTGATACTTATCTCCCTATTAAGTTACATTTATAATTGTTCTTTTCAGGTAGTAGAAGATGGATATGAATTCTTTGCCAAAAGACAGCTTGTAACTTTGTTCTCTGCTCCAAACTATTGTGGTGAATTTGATAATGCAGGAGCTATGATGAGTGTTGATGAAACTCTCATGTGCTCATTCCAGGTAATGTTAAAGCATTTTGTTCATTTAATCATAACTATTGTATGCACCTCAGACTGTCCTCAGTAGGTTGAAAAATCATTCAATCTTAATATTTCAACATTTTAATAACTGTTTACATCCCTTTGAACTTTAGAAAAAAAATTCAATAAAACTAAACTAATTAGTTGTGAAGCGTTGTCAGATCTAGGTTCTACTCTGGATATTCTGGCTTCCTCTACCAATCAAAATTTGCTGCTATGAAATAGCCAAATTTGTTGAAAGTAGCATTATACAACACACAAACACACACAACTGTAACAGTTACCCACTGCACTTCTATTATGCATTATGTTACCTCACTTAATTGAAACTAGGAAATGGATTGTATGATTTACTTACAATTTCTACTGAAGTATTAAATTTGCTTTTGCTCTTTCATTATTTTTATACTTTTAATTAAAAAAACTTGCAAGTCATTTTAGTGAGATTGCCTAATCTAACTAGTTTCTCTACAAACCAGTCTACTCTTTAGTATTGATATTATTAGAAAAAATGGAATGTGGAATGTTTTTTAACAGGACAACATCAATTTTTTCAGATTCTGAAACCAGCCGATAAGAAGAAATTTCCTTATGGTGGATTAAATGCAGGCCGTCCAGTCACTCCACCAAGAGGACAGGTTAAAAACAAGGGAAAAGTGTAATACATTCAAACTGATATGGATAATAAAAAACAGTGCTAAATCACTGTGAACATTTTAATTCAGTGGAAACTTTGTTGGAGATCTCAATGGAAATAATTTCAGAGGTCAAATTTTTAAATATTTTGTGAGTGTGAAAGCTCATTTACATTAAAGTTCTTTAGGCCAAAGGCAAATAAATTGTGTGTATGTGTGTGAGCTCCATATTGAATGAGTGCCACTTTAATTTACAGGGAACCTGTCAATTCTAATTGCAGTTATAAAGTAACTTTGAGCTACATCTTCTCATATTGTAATCGATTCATATTGTCATAATTTGTTAAGAGAAAATTGTAACCCAAAGTTAAATCTTATGAAGTGATTGTGATCTGATTTGTACATTCTTTTTGTGTCCAAATATTTATTGAAAGCATTTGATGTACAGTGTAATATATGTCATATATTGTAAATCTACAAATTCTGGAATTATGTGTCAAATTACATTAAAATTATATATTGTAAGAGATAGTGTTTGGTTATAAAAATAAGCCTGTAAAATTGTTGTAAATTTAATTTTGAAAAAAGTAAATACAATTTGGTAAGCAACAGGTGTGTTAAAGATTTATTTAATCTAGACAAGAGAAATGGGTGAAGGGAGGTCATTTAATATTCTTCAGGCGTCAAGATGTAAATATTTTGTGTCTATTGTACATAATTTTATATGTAAATATATTTCTCTGAGATTAAAACAGAAGAAATGTAAAATATATCCTTCCCCCTCCAATCTTGATGATGATATTTTTTTCATTTCTTCTGTTAAACTTCTATATTTAGCTACTGTAATTTCTCGAATAGAAATTGTGAACATCATTTCAATACTTTGATACTGTTCAAATTTTCCCGATTGGTTTTCAAAGTGTTGTATTCTTTTTTGTTCTTCCTGACCCCATTGAATAAATCAGAAACTAAAACAGTGTTAAAACTGAAATATGTAACTGTTAATAATTATAACAGTGCTAAATTCACAGCATAAAATAGAAGTTAATCTGAATGACTTTTTACCATCAAACTATTAGAAAGCAGTATCATGGAAATATTTTAATGAAATGAAAATTTGAAATGTTTAAACAATTATATATGGTTCAGTACAACAAAAAATAACTTAAATGTTTGTTTTACATTTTCCCTATACAAGTTGTTATTCAATGGAATAGCCCTATGGATTCATCTCATTTTCACAGGCTTTTAATATTTAATGATTTAAATGGCAATAGTATGCAAGAAAAATATCTTTTTTATACTTTTTATAATTTGCTTGCAAGCAAAGGTACATGTATCTACACAAAATGTATGGTAACCGTAGATTACAGTTAATGGCAGGTACAAGAAGGTCACAATGATCAAAGAAAGTGAATAATAATAAATCTAGAGAATAAACAGAATATTTAATTTTAAAAAGAAATCATGTATCATCTATACACAAGTGTGAAGAGTATACGAAGAACAGTTGTAGGGTATATTTTATACTAATAAGTTTGAATATTATTACATTCTTGTCTGATCAAGTTTCCAGCTTCATTCAAATTTCTATTTTTGAACTACCATTAGACGACCCTTTATTTAGGCGAATTAAGTTAAGAGGTTGTCCTGTGCTATTTTTTATTGGAATTTCGCATTGGAATTCTGTGGATAGTAAGAAATAGTACAGGATTTATTTCATTTAGTGTTCATAGAGCTTGTCATGGTAGCTTCTTCTGTAATGAATGTCTGTTATTCATAATAGCAACCTGTTCTTGTGGCATAACAATACTTATAAAATAACTGGAGAATAAAGATTTTATTGCTCCTCATGTCAAAACTTGCATCTGTGTCGTTAAAATTTCATTTGCTTCTCAAAAAGTTCAAGACGTCATACAGGAGAAAGTTGTGATTTAATTTACTTTACTTTGCTTACATTAAGATATAATAAAGTAGTCCTTCATTTCAAATTGCTTTTTATTCAGGTGTAATATGCATTCCTAAGTTCTTAACTGTTACATAACAATGCCAATTGTTGGTCCATCCATAACTTATTGCACTTGAGGTCATTGATTGTGTGAATATTTTAATCTTTGGTGTTCTGACTGTTACCGGTTTTGATTTTAAAAACTTGCTATCCTGTCATTGCCTTTGTTCAAATGAAATATAGTTTTTGTCATGTACATGTAGATGCTATTGTGTATAGATACAAATAAATTTTGTAAAAAAAAATGTCATCTGTTCTTTTTATTTTGAGTTCAGACACTTCTGTATCTGGGATGTTGTAATATCCATTGTGTACCTTCCACTCGAAGTTAACCTCAGATTTTAAGAAAACATATTGAATATGAAAGTTTAAATCACTTTTAAAAGGTATGATGTGCTAGTTGTGAAGCCCTACAATGTCAAGCTGGGTTGGGCTTACAAGAGATCACTTCTGTCCTCCTCACACTTCAGTTAGTAACTTGCACAGAATCTTCAACAGTGCCCTTTTTATTTGAGTGATTTTATTTGGGGGGGGGGGGGATTTCCAATACCAAAAAACATGCAAATAGCCATGCATATTCCTTGGGCGGTTTTAAACATTTCATTTTGATAAACAAAAAATGCCAGTCCATTCCATAGGTTGGATAGAGAGGATCACACAGAAGTTATGCTCATTCCCACTGTCTGAAGAAAATGACAAAATTCACTTTAGCTGTAGTGTACTTTGTTATATATAGTTGACCAACCTTGATCATTTAATGGAGAAAGTTTTGTCCAATAACAATAGGAAAGTAGAATGATTTGTAGATTACAGAGATGTCAAATTCATAGTGGCATTTTGTTGAATGGTTAGAATCTGAGAACAATTGTACACAATCCAATAAAGCTGTTACTTATTAAAATAATAAACGCCCTGGATTCTTTTATGAGTGAAAAACTTGTAATTACACTGGCATTGACATTTTGAGAAGTATTCTGCACTTGACTTGTCTTGTTTAATACATTTGTTACTTTAAAGTATGCATTGAAAAAAGTAAAAGCTCACATGGGCCATATGAGCAATTATCATCGTTTGGCATCTGTCATCCTAAATTTGTTAAAAGAACACTGAAACTACAAGGACCAATGTTGCCAAACTTTAGGCATATGTTGATTTGTCACATACATATGTTCAGTTCAATATTTCCACTTACCTGCCTCCTTAACTAATTGCATTTCCCTCTACATCCCCATACGTTCGTCGAGTTTTTGTCTCGCCTTGACGGAGTCAAAAAGCGAGACATAGGTATGCTGTCGACGACGGCAGCTGCGTCAACTGTACTAGTTTGTGATTAGGTCAGTACAAGGGGACCCACTAGTGGTAAGTCAATGATATTTGGTATGCAGTTGTATAAGCATTGGCATATCTCATTTCCATGGAGAATATTTGGTCCCGCCCCCTCAGTCATGGTCTATTGACTTAGAAACTTTTGCTAAGTTTACATGTATTAGTTTGTGATTAGATCAGATTAAAATGAACCGCTAATGTTAAGTCAATGACATTTGTATCGTTTCCATGGAGATTATATAGCCCCACCCCCTCACCATAGTTCATTGACTTTGAAACTTTTACATAGTTTACAAGTCAATGTTTATGTAAGGTTCGTTGAAAGGGAACGACTTATGATATTGGTATGCAGTTGTATTAGAATTGGCACATCTAATTTCCATGGAGATGTTTTTGCCATGTACTTTCAGTCATGGTGCATTGACTTTGAATATTTGCATAATTTACATGTTGAAGTTTTGCTATTTTAATTTCAACATTTGCATTATCAAAAGTGCAAAAAGTCGAGACATATCTCTGTGTTAACAGTTTATTTATTATAAATTCGGTAATACCTCCAGCTATCTGCCTTGCGTAACTCTTCAGTTTCTCTCGGCGGCCGCCATTAAAGCACATGCAATACGTTTATTTGGATAATAAGAATTTGAATCGTAAGATGGAGAAACAGGAAGATAAGTTTAAGAAGTGTGTAGGGTGTCCGGACAAGATGAACACTCTGGATGAGCACGATGAATGTTGCAAAAATCGTATTTGTAACGAGTCATCCCATGCAAAATTTGCAAAAATTGGTCTAAGGAGCATAGGAGTTTGATCATGAAAATGATTGAAAAAAGTGTTATGAAGACAATTAAATTGAATAAACTTTCTCAACCCGCCTGTATAGACGGGTTGACAGATTTCAAAGACACAAGTCCACCTGAGGAGGCGGCAGTCAGAGATTCAAATGACGACACTGTCACTGAAAATACACCTGACAACAGCACTTGTATGGTCGATTTTTCGGCAATTGTACAAGAATATGTACAATTACAAATACAAAACTTATTCAAAAAGAAATTGATTGATATCAATGCTTATGTTCTTGAAGTTCAACCTCCTGGAAAGCCTAGTTCTGCAACATTGCAAAACCATAGGCCACATTTTGACAAATTCAAAAGCTATGACGATCAGATGTCTTTAATGACAAATGTTGATCAAGATCAGGTTTCTTATCTTGATCCAGAAGAAAAGATTGATGATGGGTCTGCATCGCCACGATCTTGTCAAATGTTTACATGCACCCCAGTTGAGGTACCACAAGGGGCATCTGGTGCTTCTGATCCAATTGAGTGGGTTTCATTTATTCATAAAATGGCAACAGTTCCCAATATAGAACCTGAATCTTCAGAGGCTCAAGATCAGGAACGTCCTTCTTTTGTTTCGGCAAGATTAAAACCTGACAAGAATGATAAAAAATCAGCAATTAAATTACCTTTGGAAGGTACAATTATTGACATGATAAAATCTGTAGAAAAGGAAGCTATCTCTGGTCATTTGAAAAACAGAGCTGTTCGTGGCAGGGATGATAAGGCTTTCATGGTTAAGAAAGATGATTTTAATGCTTTCTGTAGTCCTCCTAAGTTAGATGACAATAATGAGGAAGAGCTAGCTATTGGTCATAAAGGCAATTCTATTAAATCTGGAGTTTATATTCCACCTTTTCACAGAGAATTAGATAATGATTTTCGTCGTACGGACAATTCTGCCAGGGCAATTTTTAGAGCAGTTTCATATGGTACTATATAATGATTTCTGCCTTTTTGTATGAGGCAACTTGTGAAGATGATAGGATTGAAGGACGTAAAGCATTGAGTAATTGCTTAAGAAGTATGGCTGATTTATCAGGCAGAATCATGGCAAATTCAGTATTAAGTAGAAGGAAATTTTTTCTGAAAAATGTTAACTTCGTTAGTAAGTCCACAGAAAAGAAGTTGTTAAAGTTGCCCGTTTTTGGCAGTCAACTTTTTAATGGACAATACCTAGACACACTGCATACATCAGCAGAGAATTTATGGGATGCTAGAGAGACCCAGAATTTTTATAATAATGCTAGTAGTTATAGCAAGAACTTTATCAAGTCTAGAGATGATCGCACTCCTGTAAATGACTTTAATAGAAAGAGGAAAGGTGACTATTCTGATAATTCTGATCATGGAGCTAAAGTTGCCAGAACAAACACTTATTCCTGCCAGAACAAACACTTATTCCTGCCAGAACAAACACTTATTCCAACAAAGATAATTTTCGTGCAGGAAATTTTTCTAGGAAAGGAAATTTTTTTCGGAAAGCAGCCGGGAACCCAAAAGGTTTCCCAGCTCCAAGGAAGTAAGTTCAAAGAACCTTGTACAAACTGTTAATATAAGTCCCCAGGTAGGGGCACGTTTGCTAATGTTTCACAGGAAGTGGACAAAGATCACAGGAGATCAATGGGTTTTAGAAACTTTACTAGAAGGACTAAAACTGGAGTTTATGAGTCATCCATGTTTAAACATAAAAAAACACAAGTGTTCCAAAATGCCAGGATTGAAATTTTGTATTTGCGCCAGATGCGCGTTTCTTCTACAAAAGCCTCATCAGTGACGCTCGAAAAAAAGTTAAGGCCAAATAATGTACGAAGTTGAAGAGCATTGAGGACCAAACATTCCAACTGTAAATTGGAGCGGCATGTATGCATTTCCTCCTCCAATCCTTGTTCCTCGGACATTACAAAAGATTCGAGAAGAAAAGACAGTTGTTCTTATAATAACACCAATGTGGCCAAGACAATCTTGGTATCCTCAGATGTTGGATCTACTGATAGATATTCCAACAAAACTACCTCCTTTGCCAGATCTGCTTTTACAAATTCACAATCGAATACAAATATTTCATCAGAGTCCAGAAACATTGAATCTTGTGGCATGGAAATTATCATATTGCGCCATAAGTCAAAAGGATTTTCTGAAAAAAATGCAGAAATTATGGCAAATGCCAGAAAAACATCTACTCAAACAGTGTATGATGCAAGACTCAGAATACATGACAGTTGGTGTAAAAAGAACACAATATCAATTCCACTTCTTCAACTATACCAGAAGTA